ACTAATCCGGAGTGCGGGGGTCAGGTGATCGCTAAAGGTTCAGCCCTCTCCCCAAGAATACATTCAGCGGGAATCGAACACATGTCCAACCTCACTAACTCAGCGCCAAGGAACCAACTGAGCTACCCATTGAGTACTTTCTCCTTTCTTATTTGTGATATAAAATACTCTCATCGTATTCCAGATACAACGCTATCACGTAAACGACAATTTTGTTAATCATTTTATTTTTTAAAATACTTTGGCATTTATGCTTTTTTAGTTGAAAAAAGTCTCTCAAAAGTGGTGAGAAATAAAAGAAAAAAACTTAGTGCCTCTTTGAAATATTTTTTTTAACTTCTCTTCTCTTTACAAGTAGAAGTTAGGTGTTTCGTTTTTATAAAAGTTCTTATTATAAAAAAAAAAATCTTTCTTTTATAACGAAGAAAAAAATTAAAAGCTAAAAGTTCCAAAGTGGAGCTTTTTTAATCAATTTTTTTGACTCCTCATTTATTTTATAATTTTATCTTTATTTTAAATTTATATTTATAAAATTTATAATTTACACTAATAATTCATTATTATAATAAATTATTTTATTTTCCCTCATTCAAAATCATCATAACAACTTTATATAATCATCAAATAGCTAACTTTTAGCTTCTTCTTTTTTAAGTTTTTTTTTTTAACTTCAGTTTAAAAATAACTTTTAACTTAAAAAAGAGTGTCAAACAAGCTCTTAATATAAATATTAAAACTCTCACATAAAATACTTCTTAAATGAATTCGACACCACTAATACTAATATACAACATAACTAACCATGTTTTTTCATATTTGTCATAAACCTTATGTTTCGATTTAAGAAACAAGAATACAAACATAGAATACAGACATAATATTGTGAAACAAATATGCCGATTTAGCAAAATTATAAAAATTATAAGACACAGGCCAATTAAAATGTAATATATAAAATTAACGTAAAAAATGAATCCCAACTTAATTAGATTTACAGATAATACAGATATATTAGAATTTATCTTTGTTTACAGAATAATATTATTCCTCTAATTATTATATTATCTACATTTGTATTGATACAAGAATTCAAAATAAAAATTAATTAAAAGACATAGAATATAAATCTAAAAGTATTTAAGACAATGTGTCCCTAGTACGACAATTATTCTCTATGTGTTGATTTTTTATTTTATTTTTATTTTTAGGTTTGGATTGAGAGAGAGAAAAAAATAGAGAGAAATATAAGGAAAAAAAAACATATAAGTGACTTTTTAGAATTTTAGATGTCATACTTTTATTTTATCACCTATCTCATTTTCTTTCCTATATCATTCAAGAAAGAGAAAAAGATGTTAGTCCGTACATAGCACGTTAAAAATGAAATATTTTTGAGTAAATATCCTTTTTGATACTCAGTAGATCTTACGATATCCGCTTTAGTCCCTAGCAAATAAAAAAATTATTAGTAGTTTCTAAGAAATTCAAAGTGGACCTATTTAGTTGAAATCGTGGTCCCTCACAAATTCAAAAAAAGATTTATATTAATACCTCGAAAGAACTAAAATGAGTCCACCTTGAATTTCTTAAAAATTAAAAATAATCTTTTTATTTATTAAAAACTAAAATGAACATTATAAAATTTAGTAAAGACCGAAAATAGTATTTACTTAATATTTTTCCATGAAATTGAATTGTCCTTTTATTACGTTCCTTTCAGCTGGGTTTTGTGGGGCCATTTTTGAATGTAATGATTGTTTAATCGGTGGTGCTCATTGTGTTGGGTTTGCACCCACCCAAGAAAAGTCTTTGGTTTACCAACTTCTCAGGACTGTGATACATGACAATGGGAGGTTACAATTTGAGAAGGAGCACACATTCAGATTCAGTACCCTGTCAGCACCACTAGGGATAGCTTAGTGGTGTTGGATGTGTTTAGGGTATATTAGGTATGCGGTTTAATTTCTTGTAATGTCCAAAAAAAAATTCAGTACCCTGTCGGTTAAGGGATGATTTAACCAGTTTGTGGAGATTGGTAGAAAAGTGGGGCTTTTGATAGGTCTCAATTCTCATGTTTTGCAATTATTATAGTAACTAGCAGCTTGAGAATGAGGGACTAGTGATTAGGGAACATAGATCTGAGGATTGAATTGAGGTTTTTGTTTTCAGCATTACTGTACATGAAAGAATGTCAGAAAGTAAAACATATTTTCAACTATTAAATTTGACTTCTATATGGGTTTAACTTTTCTGCAATGGGTGCAGAAAAGTTTATCTATTACTCTTAAAAAAAAGTGAATTCCATTCAATTAATACAGTTAGTTTGTGTAAAAAAATTTGTAATAGATAAATTTTCTTACAACAATTGCAAAAATATTTTTCTTGTTGTGTATATGTAAAACTTTATATTGTTTTTGTTAAATAATAAGAGAAGAGAGGAACATTAAAATAAATCTATGTAGTATTAAATTGATACAAGGTGTCCAATATATAGACAAACTAATGAGTTTAGCCCAGACCTAACACAAATCCTAATGAAATAAGAAAATAATATTTTCAGATATATAGGTTTCTCAACAACTATTATCATATTAAAATTATAAGATGTCTTATATAATTGAGAATAATGAATAAATATATAATATATCTTATTATATATAAGGATTTTAATTAAAATGACATTAAATACGGGTTTAAATCAACTTAATTATTCTTAACTTGTATATTCAAAATACATTATATATAATTAAATTAAGAGATATGTTAATTTTTTTTTTTTTCTGATTATCTTTGTCTATTACTCTCCAATATCTAACGGTGTTAGACAAAAACAGACAGAAAAGATAATAAAAAGAATAACTTATCCCTTAAACTAATGGCGTTTGAACTTTTTTTATCATATATCTTAGAAACTATTCGGTGTTAGATTTTCTTTTCCACCTCACAGGCTAGGACACACTTGAAGGGTCAATATGTTATTATAAGTGCTATTTGAGTTTAGCGGCTTCCTGACTTTGGATTGCTGTGAATGGGTAACAAAATGTAGGCTCTGATTCAGTAATAATTAACCCTTGTGAGAGGGCCTGTATTTATTAGCTATCCCTATTCAATTTTCTGACTAATCAATCAATAAAGAAACAAGGTGAGTAAACTTTGGACACTAAAACCCATACATGAAACCTCAATACTTACCCACAGTCCACACCAATGTTTCATAAAATCCTATTGGCACATGTATATATAATCATAACTTTGTTTGGATCTGCTAACTAATTTAGGTAATTGTCTTGTTAAAAGTTGATTATAAACAGCGTGTAGTAATAAGAAGTTTATTAGACGCGCAGCTAAAGAGAGTGGGTGAAGGGGCTGGAAACATCACATGTTGACCATCTTGTTTTTCTCTATGATTTGATGGATGTGAAAGTGATAGTGTGAGCATATGATAAGGCACAAGGGAAGGGAAAGGTAACCAGAGGCGTGCCACAAACTTCGGGCAGCAACCAAAGGAAAAATGGAATTTGGTGACGTGAAACCCCACTCAGCAGCAACAGCATAGCATTTTTCATAGCTGTTATCGAGACAAAAAATATTCTGTATTATTAAATTTATACTATCTTAATACGAGTTTAATATTTCTTGTACGAAATAAGTTTACTTAAATATACACATGAAATTTATGTGAATGAATGTGAGGAGAAAAATTTTTATGTGTGTAGTAGATAAATTTATCTTCTAATGACACAAACCTAATTATATATAGGAAAATATATTTCTACAGTCACCTTAGATAATAATATCTATAACTACTCCTTTTTAACTAAGTCTAACTAGTAAAACATAGTTATTTTTTTTTCTCTCCTCAGATATTGCTGGCTGACGTGGCAGAGGGAGAAAATGTAATTTTTATGTTTTAGTAATCAGATTTAGTTTAAAAAGGTAACTATAGACACTCTTATATATACCAGATAACTTTTATATTTTTAATATATCTAAGTGAGTATATTTTATATATATTCAATAATATAAAACAAGATTTTTCTTTTAAATTAGCGAAGAATTTGCGGAGGAATAGAAGAATACCAGTATACGAATATCTCGCACGTGCTACTCCCCGGTCAAATGCCGGTGCCCAATAGTTTGACACGTGTAAGCCTAATCCTCCCAAATATACAAAAACAAAATGCGTATAGTCGGAATTCTTGACTCGCCCCAATCCCTTGTTAACAACGTGACTACGACCCTTCACAACACACACACACACACATACTCTCTCTCTCTCTAAAAAAATATCTTTAACAATGATAGAAATGATATGTATACATGCATGTATTATGTGCATATTTTTTAAGATGTAATCAAGGACCTAATAGTTTGTAGCAGTGGGTCATGTCGATATATATTCCTGTTTATGGACCACAATAATATTATCAATCACTATATCATACAATCCTAACAAACCATTTACGTGGAGCTCAAATGATCACAAAATGCAAATTTGAGGTTAAGGTTTTAAATTCATTTTTCTTCTTAAAACATTACAAAGCAAGCTAAAACCTTTTAAAAGAATATAGAATATTTTTACAATAATAATCCACAATAATAATCCACAAAAAAGAAAAGAAAACCATCTTAACATGCATGCATTACTCAACTTGTTATTATTCTGTCTCTTTGATTGGATTCAAAACGATCAAATAAATTAATAGAGGAGTACTTCTAATTATATGAGAAGTCGCTATCAGCTAAATAGGTAATAAGTCTTTCATCCAATTGACAAATTAATACTTAACCAATTGGTTTTGAGGATACACGGTGTGTAATAATAATAGATCAACAAGTCACGCTTCGCAATTATTCTTTTTATTTAAAAAAAGAAAAGAAAAGAAAAATTATTTCCTTTGAAATAAAATAAAATAAAATAAATCAAACACACCATGACCTTAGAAAGATTATTAAGATAGAGAAACACTGCTGAATTACCTTCAAACACAAAAGGGGAGAGTGTAAAATAAAGTAGAAGGGAATAAAAGCAAGAAGAGAAACAAATTTCTAAACCAAAAACTCCCTTTCCCATGAGAAGCAACCATCAAAATTAAGTAGTGTTTAGCTGAAATTTCATTCTCAAAGCTACCTATCTAACTTCATTTTTTCTGGTCCTTCCTCTTTCACTTAATTTTCTCCTTAATTCTCCTCCACCTCTTCTTCTCTTCCATATGGAGAATGAAAAGGATCGTTTCGATCCCTTTTATTACAACAACCATGAACTCAACCACTCAATAAGCTTTCCATTCTTTAGGGACAACCATTCAACAATACCCTCACAAAATTTTCAAGGGTTTGATCCCTCTAGTACCAGTTTCACTGATTGCTTACATGGTTCCATGGACTACAACACTCTCTCAAGAGCCTTTGACTTGTCTTGCTCATCATCTGAAGTGATCTCCCCCATTGACGACAACCTTAAGAAACCCACTCTAGGAAATTCAGTGGGGATCAGTGGGAAGCAATTATCAACACCCAATTCCTCTGTGTCTTCCTCATCTAATGAAGCAGAAGCAGTAACAGAAGAAGACTCAACCAAAAGCAAGAAAGAAAAGCAGTCAAAAGGGTGTGAAGATCATGGAAATGAAGACTCTACGAAAGAGTAGGTTTTCCGGTTCTTCTTCTTTTTCTGTCCCCCTCTTTAATTCTTCGTGCTTTTCTGATAGATCAATGAAGGGTAAGAAGATTTTTCCTCAAAGATTTTAACTTTGTCTTCCTTCAACTGGTCCGTAGAATCTCAATATCTTATTAATTTTTGTTATTTTCTTGAGGTAGAATTTTGAATTTTCTTTGAATTACTATTGCAATTATATTATATAACCTATCATTCCTTGTCTTTTCAACTATGACTTTCAGTGTCCCATATGAAATGAACTTGGTCAATCTTGTCTATACTCTATATATCCCTTATAGTTATATATACCATACAGTGCTGTGAATGCTATGTAGATTTTGTGTATGATTAAAATGGTGGAACAAGGATAGGCACTTAACCCTAATATATATATTGATTATTAGTTTTGTGATCTTTATCTGCCAGATATATTACAGTGAAAATTTGACTAATGTTTTGGAGCGTTTAGGAACAAGCCCAAAAAGAAAGAGAAAAAGCCAAGAGAGCCACGCTTTGCCTTCTTGACTAAAAGTGAGATCGATCACCTTGAAGATGGATACAGATGGAGAAAATATGGACAGAAAGCAGTCAAGAATAGTCCATACCCAAGGTTCATTGTTTTCCAATTTTGGAAATTTCTTATCTATTTGGTACATTAACCACCTTTCAAAGCAAAAATGATGAAGGGTTGTGGAATTTGGGTGCCAAAATCATCAACATATTGACATACAAATTAAGTCTTATCATTTATTTGTTGTCATATAATTGATGTAATTATTCATATCCTTGGCATATTAAGGTTTTGTGTACATTTTATTTCTAAGTACTTATTGAAGCATGTTTTTTGTTATAACAATCTAATTATGAAATTGGAGACATATATCATATATATTATCATATTACACGTATATATATTAAACAATTGCACATTTTACAGTATATATAGTATATGTACAAATCTGACTAGACTCTTATTTATGATGCAGGAGCTATTACAGATGCACCAGTCAGAAGTGCACTGTGAAGAAAAGGGTGGAGAGATCATTCCAAGACCCAGCAATCGTGATCACAACATATGAAGGGCAGCACAACCATCACTGTCCGGCGACACTCCGGGGAAATGCCGCCGGCATGTTGTCATCACCTTCCCTTTTTGGTTCCACATATTTGAGGCCAAATTTACCCCAAGATTTCCTAGCTCAGTTGCTTCCAAGTTATAGCCAAGATGATCACCAAAACCCCATGTTCAACCAAAACCTTGGCCATTCTCAGCCTCAACAACAACAACAACAACAGCAGCAGTTCCAACTCCCTCATGACTATGGGTTGTTACAAGACCTATTGCCATCATTCCCACGCAGACAAGAGCCATGAACTTACAAAAGAAATCTTATCCAATTTCTATTAGTATATTGTGGGGCTTGCAGTGTATCCACACACTATATATATGTAGTAAGTAGTAGCTTCCCTTTACTTGTTTTCCTCCTCTTCTCTCTATGTCATGTACCTAGATTAGTATGTAAGACATGTATATATATATATATATATATATATATATATATATATATATATAGCAGTGGGGATCTTAGAGCCTTAAATGAGTATTTTAGAATTACAGCATGTGACATTGATCATCTTTTTAATTCCATTTGAGTAATTTGAAAGTTGAGAGTATGTATTGGAGAAGGATGGTTTGACAAGACAATTAGCATATTTTGTATGATTGATCTTTTTCAGTGAAAGGTATTGATAGGACTTGATGGTATTCTTGGATCACTAACTCAGTTAAAAGGAGGGTGCAAGACTATGCAACTAGAAAATATGGAAGGTTTTTCAGAGGCAGGTTGGCAACATCAACTAAAATTGCAGCGAATTTAATTAATATCTCTATTTGTGGTCTCCATTTGTGTGGCTATATACGTTTGAAATTTTGCGGCTATTTATTCCAATTGTGGGGGGATTATTTAGGAACTTGTATGTATATGGAAAGTTGTTTGGAGGGGAACCATATATGTGTATATATATGTGTGTATTTCGGCGCTTCAGTTCTAGTGCATGTGTTTGCGTGTGTAACTATACTTTTGGTTATATTTGTGGATGTATACCTAACTTTAATTTCACCATTGATATGATCTTAACCTACTAGTGTTATTTTTCTCTTTTTTATTTTCCATGAATCAAATGGGAGAATCAATATAGCTATAGAAGATTCAAATGCAAGCTGAAATTAGCAATAATTAAGTTATTCCCAATTAAGCCATTTATATATCAAGGTTTAAAATGAAGTTATTTATGATGAGTCTATTGTTTGGCTTTAAGAATAAGCTAATTTGTAGAAATTAATTCAGTATCTTTTTTAAAAATAAAATAAAATTAACAAGAGGTATCAGAATACTTTTCCTTTTTATTATTTATACAGGATTTAAAAATAGAAAAAAAAGGGAAATGAACTCAAGGGATTTTTTTTATTTGGTAGAGAACTCAAGGGATTTTATTTCTCCTCTTTTCGCCTGAAAGAACCAATTTTTGCTCCAAAAATAAGGTGAAATAGGGAACTAAAAATTTAATAGACTTAAGAAGTATAATAATTTCATTTTGCTCTTTTATAATGTAACTCGCTAATAAGAGTAAGAGAGTTTTGTTATTAATCTTTCAAATAAAGGTGAATGTATGTTTCATTTCTATTTCATCCCCATACTTGTTATTTATTAATGAAAAAACATTTGAACACTGTAAATTCTTTGCTAAATTTTTATGTACTTTTTTTTATATCCAAATTAGTTTAATCCGATTTGAGTACCATAAATGGGCGAGCATGACCCGCTCCAAAATCTCAACTAAACCTTAGTCAATACACAACCTCCTTATGAGAGAGGTACTTTGCATCCATTACGTCACTCCATGCATGTCTCTATTTGTTTCCTGGGATCCTTGAGAGCTCGTGCGACATGATGAACACATGAACATACATAACAGATTCTATCCACCATGCCAAGCCAGCTAATTAAATAATACGAAGACACTAAAAAAAACGCAAGAGAAGTAAATATATTTGTGAGATTTTACTTTTTCTTAAGAAAGATATGTTGCAGGTATCTATATTCACGAAACTTGTTTCTCCAAGACTTTAAAATAATAATAATAATAATAAAATTTCATAACATATTATATTCTTCTGAAACATTCAATATTAACGGACATTAGAAATTAATTAGTAATGTTTTAGATTTCCAAGTAATGTAGCAAGTGGCGTAGCTTGGGGAATATGTAGTAGTTAGTTAAGGTATCTGTTGATTGTTGTGACATTTACTTATTCACTTTTCATGTTCATTATTAAACAATTATTTTATGTTTTACCAGTTATTTTAATTTCATAATCAGTTTGTATATTGTTTAATTGACTACGATGAATGTATATTGTTTAATTGACTACGATGAATAGTAATCCAACTATGTGGACATTGAAATGTATATTTTTATATCAAATTAATCATGCAAAAAAAAATAAAATGAGAACGCAAATTGCTTAAAAACTTCTTGTCCTCTCTCTGCCTTTCAAGTTGTCTCACTCCTACTTTTGGAAATGATGGCGTTGTTTATTTTCTTTTGTGTTGTACTAAATAGTTTGCACTTAAGCCCCTTTTAATCTAATATCGTGTTATCAATCTATCAAAAAAATAATATCGTATTATCTTATTATAAAAATAAAAGAAGAATTAAAAAAAAAAATTATGAGACATCTATAATGTTTACTCCATCCCTTATCATCGTCTCCCTCCCCAGTGACCAAAAAAAAAAAAAATTGAATTCAAAATCTCAAGATACATATTTTACCGTTTCAATACCGTTTTGAATAATTTTTATAAAGATTTAATTTTAATATATTATACATTAATAAAAAATTTACTTTCATAATAATTAACTCAAAAGAGACTCTTTGATTTTAATGGTTTAATAATGTGTAATTTTTTAAATAATGTAAAAAAGATTTACCATAGGGTTTCAAAATTAAGTTTTTTTTATTATTCAAATATTAAATATATTTCATTTCGATAACTTAATGAGGAAAAAATATATTTCACAAAAATATTATATATAAAAATGATCAGAAGACCAAAAATCACAAAGATGTTTGTTTGTTTTGTTTGTTTTGCAAAATTAAACATGATCACAAAACTTTTGTAGATGGCAGAAGTCCAAATATATCATTATGGCTACAAATCTGGATTACCATAATCAACGGAACTAACAAACAGTTTACCATCAAAACGGTCTTAATTTATTTCATGAATGAATCATTGAGTGCCTCGTTTATTGGTTGCTCTGCTGCCATACATGCTTTCAATAAGCTTCACCTTTCTCACGACAAACTTTGAACCCTCAACAGTTTGTTTGTCTCGTGTGCTTTTATTTTATTCATAATTTCTCAATTATCTTGCCATTGTATCTGCAAGCAATTAATTATGTTAAACACCGACTTTTAAAGTCGTTCTATAGTCCATTCCAAGAAAGAAAAGTTGTTTCATGATTTGTCCATATCCGAGTCAGTAGCAACGACTTTCGGATTTTGAATAGTAAGCTTTGAACATATCAATGTATTTATAGATGAAAGGATCCCATATGGGGTTTGGGGAGGATATTCTTACGTAGGTATAAGAGTTAGAAGTCTTACATTCAATTTTGACCATTGATCCACTTATGTTCAATGGCTCACATTACTAAAAAATTTGAACCCTTAAATATAAGTGTGATCAACGGACAAGATTAAGAGTGTAACTTACACTGGTTAAAATGATCCTGACTCATGGGATTTATATTTCTGCAGCTATTGTATATACAACAATCAAATACTTGCTATATAAATACGTGAAAGCATTAATTGTGGGGAATCATAACCATACAAAAGATGAAAACATTAAATGTGAGAAATCATAACCATATACCTATCCTTTAAAAGGATAAAATATTTTCACATATATATATATATATAGGTAAAATTATTTCTTCAGCGGCTATATGTAGAGCAATTAATCTTGACTTCCCACATTTAATGCTTTCACCCACCTTTGTATGATTATGATTTCTCAAATTTAATTGTTGTACATATAGGCTACAACTGCAAAAAAATGACACACACACATATATATATATATATGAGGTAGGATCCTTTGACACCAGTGTCAAATTTCAAATTTGACACCTCATCTGATAGTCGTTAGATTAAAAAAGATCAATGATGTCACATGATTGCAAATTAGAGTCGTTGATCTTTTTTGATCTAATAGTTCTGAGATGAGGTGTCAAATTTTAAATTTGACACCGCACCGGTATCAAAGGATCCTACCTCTATATATATATATGGGGAGGGATCATTTGACTCCAGAGTAAGATTTAAAAGTCTTACTCCTCATCCCAGCCATTGATTTCCGTTCATCCAACGGTTATCATTTATTTGAAATTAATAATTAATTAATTCATTAAATTACTAAATTATAACCGTTGGATGAACGGAAATCAAGGGCTGGGATGAAGAGTAAGACTTTTAAATCTTACTCTGGAGTCAAATGATCCCTCCCCTATATATATATATATATATATATATATATATATATATATATATATATAGGGGAAGATCATACTTATTATCATTTTTATCTTACTACTCTTACTACCTGGTTACTGTTGGATCAATTTGAAATCAACGATTAATAAATGAGAAAAATTAATTATCATTGATTTCAAATTGATCTAACGATAACCTATAAGGTAAATAGTAGTAAGCCTAAAATGGTAATAAGTATAACCGCTCCATATATATATATATATATATATATATATGTGTATATATGGTCAGGATCATTTTACACCAGTGTAAGTTACACTCTTAATATTGTCCTGTTGATCTCACTTATATCTAGTGGTTCTAATTTTTTAGTAAACTGAGCCATTGGATACAAGTTAATCAATGGTCAAGATTGAGTGTAAGACTTCTAACTCTTACACCGGTGTAAGAATAGCCTGCCCCATATATATATATATATATATATATATATGGGCAAGATATTCTTACACCGGTGTAAGAAGTTTTACACTCAATCTTGAGCATTGATCCACATGTATCCAATGGCTCACATTAACTAGAGTCCTTAGATATAAGTGGGATCGATGCTCAAGATTGAAAATATAACTTACACTAGTGTAAAATGATATTGACACATATATATATATATATATATGTGTGTGTGTGTGTGTGTCAATATCATTTTACATAGTGTAAGTTACACTCTTAATCTTGGCTGTTGATCCTATTTATATCTAACGATTCTAATGTATTAGATATTTCAGCTGTTAGATAGAAGCAAATCAATGACCAAGATTTGATGTAAGACTTTTTATTCTTACACCTCTATAATAATATCTTGCCCTTATATATATATATATATATATATATATATATATATATATATATATAATTAAGTTACACTGGTGTAAAAATAATAAGCCTTACATTAAATCTTAACCGTTAATTTTTGTGAATCTAATGATTATAATTTACTGGAATTTAATAATCAATTAATAAATGTAACGCAATAAAATATAACCATCAATAATTAAAATTTGATATAAAACTTATTATTATAATTATACTAATATAAGTTGATCGTGCCCCGTGTATATAGAGAGTCATGAATCATGAGCTTCTATTGTGCTGTTTTACCTAAAAGCTGATTTGATTAGGCATTTGTAACAACCGGCGTATTAGTATCGTAAGGTACAACACCAAATTTCTGACTAGCCAGAAGACTAGCATTATACTCATCTAGCATTATTTTGCTAGTAACATATATACCACACCGATATAAATAAGGGTTCACTTTTTCTGCAGTTACTGCAGATAAGTTATCTGCAGTAAGCTCAATACGACGTCGTTTTGAGGCGGAAATCATGGTGTTTTTGTAATTTTAATTTATTTCAGGGTTATAATAGTCTTTATATTTATAATTTTTTAAGATTTCAATACCAAAACGACGTCGTTTTAGGAATAAATGCAGATAACTTATCTGCATTAACTGTATAAACATTTTTCCCTATAAATAAAGACAAGATATAGTTAAAGAAAGGCAAGGTAAGAAAAATTTAGACACTCGAACCGGTGAAATAGAGAATAAATGGATTTCATATCAAGAAGTCAAAACGCTGCATGATACAAGACGAGATCACATTCACTACTTTTGTCAAATTGCAGAAGTTTTTCTGGATGGATCGGGAAACAGAAGAATCTTCATGTTTAATTATGATGCGTGGAAATCATATATACATACAGAAGTAGGAAAAAAATCAATATAAAGAAAATATGTATAATAGAAGAAAATGGAGAGTTCCAAGTTTCATTATGTTTTACACTCAAAATATTAGAAGAAAAAGGAAAATAAAGGAAATTGGAGAGGTCCAAACGTCCTTGTGTTATATTAGAGACAAAATATTAAAAGAAAAAAGTACATGCAATGTAATTGTTACTATCAGAAAACATAGAAACTAATTAGCCAAAGGGTTCATTGTTCAAACAATTGAGCAAACCTAATCAAAACAATTGAGACACTAATTGTTTGAATTTTATCTATGACATACCGATCCATACCATACTAATTAATTTCTATACATGTGAAAATTTTAAGAAAATAGATAATATGATTTTTTTAAATAAAAAAGACGAATTTGGTTTACACAATCCATAAAGGAAATTAGTGTTTTACTAATTTTCTTAATCATTTTCCCCATTGCAGAAAACAATTACCAAATCATTCATATTAAAAAGATAATCTAGCAATGCTTACACCACTTGTACAACTTGTCTACAATGACGGCTCTTCATTTGTCCCCATGCGTAGATACAAACAAAAAAAAAAGTTGTCACCCAACCCAAGTTTGAGTGATATGCAAGGCATATCTAGATACGATTGAGAGTGCATCAAATAACCACGAGTTGGTTCAAGTGGTATTTGTTTGATTTCATTTGCTAGAGGAGAAATTTTTTTTTGTCTGGAAATTTCAATTTTCAAAAATATGATTTTTACATTCAGTTTACATTAATATCCGAAAATTTAAAATTTAGAAAAATTCAGTTTCCCGAAAATCCTGTAAAAACCCTCGTACCAAACGCCCCTTAAAAAATAAAAAAATTGAAATTTATTTCCTTTGGAATAGCCCTACCATAATATAGATGTTCCCGGTTGGAACAGAATTATCTCCTACAAAAATTACTTGTAATTTATTAAAAAAAAAAGTGCATCAAATAATTTTCTTGCTACGTAGCTTATATAAAATTGTTCAAAAGAAGTCGTGAATGATTATCTTTTCAAACATTTGATGAATACAAAGATACATTGAAAAATCTTCAAGTAAATTTAATAGTGCAGTGAATATTTTAAAATTTCTTCTAACTGGTTGATAAAAATTGAAACCAATTTAACTATTATAAAAAATTCATATTTGTCAAATCGTTAGTCGGAATTAGACATAGAAGCATTTGTTAGTTTTGCTCTTTTACCAAAGCCCAAATGGGCTATTAGTATGAGAAGAGCCCAAGAAATTTAGAGTCCAATGAGCTAGGGTTTCTTGAAACCCATATATCGTCAGCCTCAGAGGTCTTTTGTGAGAAAGAGAGAAGGTCAGATCTGATTAGTGCTCACACACTTCCCCTTCATCCTCGAGAGATAGCTTGGAAGGTTTACCTCAATGGTTCGTGAGTTTGTGCTGTGATGCAAAGGGCTCAATCGTGAGGAACAACACCATCTCGCATCTGCGCCATTAAAGAGGTAAATGATAAAACCATGATGATCCATATACATCCAAATCACAATGGTCTCGTACGCTTCCGCAGATGCAATTGCTCCTACATCATTGTATCCAATGAAATGGCGGTAACTCAATCAGCACTAAACATATGGTGAGAAACATATGTTTGATCCTTCTCAATATCATTTTTTTAAAAAAATTTAAAACTTTAATTTTGAAGATGCCTTCAAACAGCATCAGATAAATGATGTGTGTACAAGATAAATATTGAAGCCCAACAACAGACTCGCAGACTCCGACTACTTTGAAACTTGAACCGATTTCATGGTTCAAAAAGTGTCATACTATCAAATAGTGGTAGCTCAGTTGGCACATGGGAGCTAAGTAGGTGGGAGGGTGAGAGCATGTGTTCGAATTTCCCCAGTACCACATTTAGGAGGGATTTAAAGCCTTAATCCTGGACCCGTCCCAAATCGGATTAGTTGCGAAGCAATAAACCGATTGGAATATTTAAAAAAAAAAAAAAAAGTGTCATACTTGGGTTTTTGACCAAATGGGAAGAGGGGCTATGGGTTTTAACCTCTTAAGCTTATAACGATTGCATGTAGTAAAAAATTCCTATATTTGTACATTTTCTCTAAAATAATTAATTTACAATGCCATTATTCAGTCACGGATAAGCACACATGAGTACATAATAATGTGCATTAACCACTTAAATAGATTTAATAAAAATATATATGTACACATAAATAAAATATCCCAACTTAAATTAAATAAAAGTAGTAATAAAATATCCTTGTTTGGCTTATAAGAAGCCTCATTTGTAAGGTTATGTGAGTCGTATTACATTTATTTTTTGAAATATTGTTACACAATATCAACTATTAATTTAGTTAGCCATAGTAGATACAACGTACATGAGAATGACAAAATGGCAGGAAGCAGAAGTCAAAAGCTGCAAGAGGGTGGATTCAAACGAGCTCCATTCTCCATGAAGTTTGTAAAGGCACAGCAATCCGTGAAAACATGACTGCTTTATCAAAATATTGAATTATTATGTATTCCACTTCCACCGTTTGAAGTTTTGAATCATTTGTTTGACTGCATGCCAAATAAATGCTTTCAGAAGACATAGATTCTTTATCCATTTGGGTGAATAAGAGAATTAACAAGGCTTGAAATAAAAAATCAATTTTTTGAAAAATTTCCCTTTTTATTATTTCAATAAGATCCAATGAAATGTTACAATTTAATTTAGAAGAATGCATTGGTAATATAACACTTTCACGCTCTATTTCCCATAATTTGCTCTATTGTTAAATAAAATTATATATTAGTACAACTAAATAACCTAAATTCATTTTCAATTAATGAAGTCAACATAAAATTTTACCCGAATAATACAAAAATTGTTAAAATATAAATTTCAAAACACACGTTGCTAACAGAACCTATTAATTTGTTTGTGTGGAAGGGTAAGTCTCCTTTATATAACTTCTCATCAATGGAATAACAAAAAGATATTATCACTTGATTAAATAAGCAAAATATGAAAAGGAAATTGAAGCCAAATATTAGTTTTCTACTATCTCCACTCTCCAGAGACCAGAAGCATGCAAGGATAGCCAAAAGGGTAAAACAAAGTATAAAAAAAATTAACCAAGCAGATCTCTGTACAGCATTAACACTATCACTGACTCTACCCTCTTTGCAAAGTTGGTACACCAGATCTTAAATGGTCACATTGAATAAAAAAATGCTTCATTATCCAAATAGGCTCTCTCTCTGATCTGATTTTCTCCTCAGATGCAGCAAAATTTTCTTAAGGATACAAACTTGGAGTCATATAAGGTTATATAGTTTAGTTACTGGAATGAGTACAACGGCAATTGTACATGCAGGCTAAGTCATATGGTTGTCAATCCTATCCTTGAGTTGTTTCCAGCACATAGCTTTAAGAATGATCCACCTTTTCAGTAGCATCAGATGGACCAGAAATATCCTTCACTGTTTCAATTCCCATGCTAACAGTGCTGCTCTTTCTATTCCTTCGATCCTGAAAGTGATTATATCAATCAGTTATCTAGCTTAAGTTTTAGTGTTTTATCACGATCTATGTCAACAGATATACTTCAATATTTAGTATATATAAGCATGAAAAAACATGCATACAAAATAGGACCCATATTATCCACTAGAATATAATGCATCAGAAAGCTATGTAGAAAATGTATATTCCCAATTATATAATATGATAAAAGCAAGAGTTTAATCTTTCTCTGATTGTCTTTTGAGCTATATACTGAAAGGTGCATACACAGCAAATTGTTAATATGTAGGCTGAAGAAAATCAAACATTTTTTTTTTCTCTTGGAGTTTTCATTCGATGTTTCATTCATTCTAGTTGGTGGAAACTGGAAGGTTAGCTAATATATGCATACAAGAAAATAATGATAAGAAGCACAAAATGTCAAACAGTTGCAAAAATGTGATAAAAGACTCAAGACTCGAGTCCTAAAGCAGACAACAGAACAAATACATGACAAGATGGGATATTGAAGGGAACCTCTCGAAATGGATATTCATCAGCTTCAAGCATCCTCACAACCTGACTCATTTTGGGCCTCTTGTCCGCATCAGGATCAACACACCTAAGTGCAACCAGAAGAGCACGTTTTAAAGCACGTATTGATGGTTTAACTTCAAGGCTTGAGTCCACAACTTCCTCAGCCCTCCTTGTCCCCACCATTATCTTGAGCCATTCAACAAGATTAACCTGTCATGAAGATATACAAAATCTCATCAGCTGCGTGACGGGCAGTGGATTACTTTCGATGGAAAGCATGGTTAGAAACTGGCAAGCTGGCAGCGTTCTAAGAATTAGGCACCTCATTAGCGGGACGCACATAGTCTACAGGGTCCCTTCCTGTAACTGCTTCCAGTAGGAGGACACCAAAGCTGTAAATGTCACTCTTCTCATTTAATAAACCACTGTTAGCATATTCTGGTGCCACATAACTGAAATCCACAATAGAAGTAAGTTTCACATATGTACAAATCCTTTAAATAAAATATAAGGAAAGAGATAATGAAATTTTCCGTGTACCCAAACGTTCCCATTACTCTAGTGGTTATGTGACTTTCTCCTGAATCCAAAAGTTTGGCCAAACCAAAATCAGAAACCTTTGCATTGAACTCATCATCAATCAATATGTTGCTAGACTTTATATCCCGGTGAATAACTTTTGGTTCTATTGCTTCATGTAAGTAAGAAAGCCTGCCACCAGTCACCGTAAAACAAGAGTTTAATCAGACAGTTTAGGTCCAATGTTCAAGAAAAGTAAAGTTGATAAGTAGTTAAGAAGTAAAATATTAAAACTTCAGTTGGTCACACGCTCACTGAGATTAGGGAGTTCAGTTGGTGGTCCAATGGGGGAAGAGAGTGTTGTTGCTTTGTTCAGAAACCTAATGGGCTTAAATATATTGCAAAATATATGAAAATATAAAGTCTATAACAAAATATTATCAAGAAACCAAAATAAGCAGTCAATAACATCTATGATATATTTTGGCATGCACAAAATTCTAATAGTAGTAACATAAATTAAAGGAGCATGAAACAGTTTTACAATCATAGCCATTCAGAGACGAGAGATTTAAGACAATCATACCAAGTAATTTGGTAACATACAATACATATGACTACCATGGCCCATATTTTTAAGTTGCAAGCTGAACTTACGCTTTGGCTGTGCCAAGTATAACTTTAATGCGGGCCTCCCAGGTAAGTGTGCCATGTTGCATGCCCCCATGTAACCACTGTTCTAAGTTACCATTGTTCACATATTCATACACCAGCAGCCTGAATATCAATTGGAAAGTACATTCATGATAATGGAGAAAGAAACATAACATAGAAAAAAGCTTCTGTTCAATTTCAGACCAAGGAGAATAGAATTATCATAAACCCAAAGCTTATGCTATTATTGACAATGGATTTGTGAGAGCACAACTATAACATAAAATGAATAATTTTGTAAAAAAAATAAAAAAAATTTACCTGTGAACTCCTTCTACACAATATCCAAGCAGGCGCACAAGATGCTTATGTCTAACATGGCCAATAGCCTCCACTTCAACTCTGAATTCTTTCTCTGCTTGTCCCCTATGAACTCAATATAGAACTCAATCACATAAAAAGATTAAAAAGAAGTCATTGTTTACCAATAGTGTCAAATAGTACTAGAGAAAAAAATTTATTATAAAATATCCTTACAAGTTGTTAAGAAGTTTCTTCACTGCCACCTCGGTTCCATTTATCAGTCTGCCCCTATAAACAACCCCATATCCACCCTCACCAAGAATGTTCTCAGCTGAGAAACGATTAGTTGCTTGTTCCAGATCTCTAAGTGTAAACCAGTGGCCCCACCCAAGATGAGAAAATTCCGGCAAGCCAATTAATGGCGAGGCAGTCACCAACCCTCCATAAGACAATGTAGACTGCTTTCTAACATGCCCAGAGCTTCCTTCTTCCCCTGAAAGCGAACTAAATCCTCTCTCGTGATGATAAATTGAGCTGCACTGACTGACGTTATCAGGATCACTGGATTTGCTCATCCCCAAATGAACTGATACCTTATCAGAATTCTTATCATTCGCATTGTCATGAACTGGAATAAACACATTTTCTGGTTGATCATGAGAACTCTGCACCCCAACCTTGTCAACATCGATATCTTTTGAGACATTTGGTATTTGGGATAGAGAGTACTTCTCTAGAGATCTCCTAGACCTAGACTTTCTCCGAAACATCACCCATACAGATAATATACAAAGAATCAGCACTATAAATGCACCAACACCTATCCCAATCAAAACCCATCTTTTCAAACCAAAAAATGACGTCTTCTTTGACAATTCCACATTCAAAGAACTGTTGGATGACATAATCCCGGTTGCTACAGGTCAATCAATTTCCTCCCCCAAGTTCTTCAACTGGTAGAGTTAAGACATTCCCACCTGAGCACAAGAATCTAGTTAAGTACTCCCTTTACTCAAGGCTTTGAAACGCACATCTAAACATTCTAATTTACAGCCAAGATTTCAGTTCTTGCAACAACCCCATAAACAAAAACCAGAACCACCAATTCAACCAATCACTAATTGCAGCTTTATCATGACTCAAGATAATTCCAGAATACAAAATTTTCTGTATGCTAAATTTCAAGATCTTAATTTCTCAGGTTCAAATGGCAATGGCATTCAATAAAAAAGAATCCAGTTATTAGAATGAGAAAAAAAAAATGTAATACTTAACGCATTTAACAATGAAAAAGGCACACTGAGTAAAAGCACCTGTTAGATTATCAAAACAATTATAATCAAAAGAAAAGGGAAGTAGGAAAGCATCACTTATGATCCAAGTAAACAAAAGAGAAAGTGAAATGTGAATTATCCAAAAAAGTAGCTGAGAAAGACAAAGCATTTACCTTTGTGTTGATCTAAGGTAGCTAGCCTTCTGGATCCTCTGCCTTGAGCAACCAAAGAAGCAACAGTCTTCACACTTCTTTTTGAACCGACAAGAAACTCAATGTGCATACATAGGCGCAGGAATACCTCAGCAACACACAAAACCCTACAACAAATTTCAGATGCTGCAAAAGATGCAGTGGCACACTAGTAGGTAACAAGTGGGCCACAAAAAAGAAAAGAAAAGAGAAGAAAAGCTCACAGGGTTAAGATATTAAAAAAACAAAACTTGGAAAGGAATGCCACACACAAATCTTATTTTGATTGAAAAAAAAAAAATGCAGATAGAGAGAGAGAGAAAGAGATGGTAAAATGGTTGGTGGGCAGGACCAGAACCAGCTGGAAAGGAAGCTTGGTTTGTAATAGAGGAAACCAGTGTGAGAGAGAAACAGTAAAGGAAAAGCAAAAATATGAAAAATGAACAGTGATTGCATTTATGGATGGTAGCAAAAAAAAAAAAAAAATTGTAATGAATGAGCAACAAAAGTAAAGTTAAGAGAGAGAAAGAAAGAGGATGTTATGAAGAGAGAGAGAGACAAGGTCAACCTCAATCCAACAAGGGGGAGCTAAGCCCCAAATCTAGTTTACTATGATGTCATCATGTCTGCTTACCAATCTGTCCTATTTGTGTTGTACCAAAAAAGAAGAAGAAAAAAAAGTCCTATTTGTGTGAAAAAGAAAAATCTTAATGCAAATCTTAAAACTTGGCATCATCTCCCTGTCCCTTCTTTAGTATTTTTCCCCTTCACATTGCCAGATTCAATTTGGATTTTGGTTTTGGACACAACCCAAAATTGAAGGGATTTATAAAAGGGAATTAATTTTTTCATTTTACATGAGAAAATTTTCTCATGCTACACTCTCAATACATGAGTGGGATCCACAAAAAGGTGAGAAGACAAAAAAGTCAAGATGGGACCCACTCATGTATTGAGAGTGTAGCATGAGAAAATTTTCTCATATAAAATGAGAAAACTATTTCTCTTTATAAAATATTAAACATATTTATTCTAGTATTGTGTACATTGAGCCCAAATTCTTGTAGGAAACACTTTTCTGCTGCAGAATGTAATGGCTGTGCAACTTAGCAGGCTTATGCATTACCATGGCTAACGTAAAATTAGTTATATATTTAATGTACATTTAATAGAATTATGTATATAAAAAGATTAAGATCAGTTAATGCAACGAGCTTGAAAAGTACATTAATTAAAGCATAATCTTAATCCATCGTCCTCTTGGATATTTGGATAAGATTATTATCTAAAATGCGGGCATTAAATAAATTTTAATTTTCTTTCCTAGTGTTGCTTGTCACTGCTTGTCCTTGATAGGTTCAATCCTGGAATAAATGTTTTGAGGGTGAAAAGAAAAAGGTTACCCAGTATGTGCAAATCTAGTAAGAAAAAACTTTTAAAAAAATAACCATAAAATGTGAAAAAAGGAAGGGATAAAAGGGAAAGTAGGGAAGTTTAATATGTCATTATTAAAAATTAATTCATGCCCAGCAGCAATAGCTAAATTTCCCTTTCGCATTAAATGTGTTAAAAAGTCAGAAGCTTTTAGTTGTCAACTTATTGAAAAATGCATATATTATAGATGACAGTTATCAGCTATACTAGGTTCCCAGATTTTTTTCTCTTTCCTTTTTTAATGGATAATGTGATGCCTTAATCAATGTTTAACTACGGCTCCAGGATTCAAAATTCCAACGGTTCTGAGGGGTAATTTTGTCATTACGCTTTGATTAAACCTACGTTTCAGATTCAGAGTACCATTCTGCTTTTTCTTTTCTGTTTTTTGGTTAAAAAAGAGGGCATAAGCCCCTAGATTACCATTCTGGTTTTGAGGGCCAAAAAAACCCACCAATTGGGGAAGAAATAGGTACTTTGATTTTAAGCATAATTTTTTTTATTAAAGTATGAATCCACACAAACTTGGCAACTTTCCTTATTTTTTTTAAATAAGGGAAATATAAATCTCCTATTTCAAGAGACTTGTTGTATTATGTAATAGAGACAAAATATGTGAAGCTCACCATCATATATACAAAAAAACAAAAAAAAACTTGATAAATAATTTTTACAATGTGTTTCCAGCAACGTGAGAAACAATTTCCCTTTTACATAATTAGTATTGAAATTATCTATTATTATATGAGTTGAAAATTTTGGATTATTTAATCCAGAATTTGTTATGGATTACATCACTTTTGAGATTTCAGAAAATAATTTTATTTCTTATTTTTTTTTATCTTTCAAGAATAAATAAATATGTCTGAATTGATATATTATTATAAATGAAGATGAATGATCCTTTTATTCTGATGTAAAACTAAAAAGTCTTATTCCTTATCTTAGTCGTTAATTTCTGTCTATCTAACGGTTATAATTTATTGAATTATATCAATTAATTAAATATTAATTCTAAATAAATTACAATTATTAGATGGATTAAAATTAATGGCTAAAACCAAAAGTAAGACTTTTTAATTTTATTCGGAGTAAAAAAAAAAAAAAAATCTCTCCTAAGTATTAGAAGTTCAATTATAATTATACTGATCATTTAGGCGGGTTGAATGTTGGTTTAGAATCAACATCTTACCGTTCCGCGCGTTCCACTTCTAAATGAATATATAATGCTTGTCTTAACTACTGACATAATAAATTATATATATTGACATACTATGTTGCACGACGAAAAGAAATAAATACGATGCCCCCTGTATTCATTACAATTATATACTTGTTGTACACGTAACGACAAACACAGACTGAATGCTAAAAAAAAAAAAAACCAATGATTAAAACTTTTCAAAATATGAAAAATTATTTTAACAAAATAAAAATGTAACCGTGGTTAATATGAAACTTTGGTAACAATTACTCTGTTCTCATACTTTGGTCACCATACCATAGCAATCCGGTCAAACAGTGCCATTACAAAATTTTGGTTCACTAGATAAATTTTTGAAGGAAAGTACAACTGTTGTTATGTTGTAGAAGAATTTTACTTCATCAAAAATTCAAAAAGAAAAAGAAAAAGAAAACCTGAATCTAAAAGATGGCAAGAGAGTAAGTAGAGTTAAACATTTTTATGAGAAATCAGTAATTCTATTAACGTGGGGTATATACATACCAAACATGATATTTGACGCATGGGTTGTTCAATCATGGACATGAAGAAAGTGACCCTCTTTTGTGTGCTTCAATAATGTTCTTCACTATCAATTTACAAAGCATTTACTTTAAATTACATGCATACACAATGTACAATGTGGGCATGCAATGATAGACTCATAGGAGCTTTAAACAAGAGATGAGCAGAAATTTATAACCTATATACAAATATATATTTCCATTAATCCATGCACGCACGCTAACACATATCAGGAGAAGTATAAGGTAGCCATGCATCTTCACTTGAATGTAGGAAGCCAGCCTAATCTGTGCAGCATCTCGTGCCATGTCAGAGTCACAATTTCATCACTTTGTCAGGTCATGTATGTCATTAGAATATTTGTTCAGCAGTTGAAGCATGAGGAGCTCAATCATTCACAAAGTTAACTCATATTGGGCTCGCTCTTGACATCTGCAACATAGATAGGTCATGTGATATCCTCAACATGACTGCATGTAGTCTGCATGATTTGCAAGAGACTATGATTATAACAGGAGTAGTTCTAAGCCTACAATGATATCTATATATCTATTCCTACACTCCTTTCTGCACCATTGGATTACATGCAGATCTGTGCAGGAGTTTCATCAGAACTTCACTTCATAGATCCATATATAACCAAACGGCTCTACCATTTGTTGTGCACACAACCCTGAATAAAAGGTTGTGTATAGCCATTCTCAAATAACAGCAAGTAATAACATGCAAATAGCCCCCACTTAAAGTAAAATCCCACTGGCCTTGTAATTTGGACAAAACAGATTCACACCAAGTCTCACAACTATAGCATCTTCAGTTCACCACTATATCATACCGAAATTTAAGTATAAAGTTGGAGGTGACAACCACAAAACTCTAGATTATCTAAATAAACAGGTTTCAATACCATTTCAAAAAATAACTTGATCTAGTTTAAGTTGGTTAAGAGGGAAAAGTTAATGGAAATGCTGCTATACTTGATACACTCAAACTAAAAAATGAAGTGATCACTGCAGCTTGCCAGTCTTCATAATTCACAAAGATACATCATTGACCAGATATGGAGACTAGTAATATTAATGTAGCATATACCACCTTGTTTTCAGGCAGTATACTTGTCATGTTCAGTTATCCCCAAATTGTTAAAGAATTTGGTTCAGGCAGTGTATCATGTGGTAGAAAGTATCATAAAAAAATGCAGTACATATGTATTTAATATTGTGAACCAAATTTTATAATGAAATTTTATTATACGATTGGATGAAGCTCGGCTGCTGTATGGAAACTTCAATTCAGATAGTCTATTTAAAAGGCAATAGATAGATAATAAAGGAACCTGATTCTTTGAACTTGTTCTAGTAACCCATAACAAAGTTTGATTTGAGTCAGATGCCCCGTCCGCATGGCTGATGAAAGTAATTGTTCTTGGTTGTTCTGGTATACTATCTGTGACAGCAGGTGGCAATTCTCTAATGATCCATAACAAATAAGCTGACGGCAAAGTAGAACCTAACAAATTTAACAAAAAAAGTCACTTTCCAATTGCCATAATTAGTAAGAAATAAGAACCTGCAAATCCTTTAGTAGTTTGCTGGTATTGTGCATAGCAATCAAAGCTCAAATAAACACTAGCACAATGAAGGAAGGTCTATGAAATCTGAAGTAGTGTAGCTTTATTTGTTTTTCTTAAGGTATATTGTTAAAGATGCTGTACAACATCACCAAGAGAAAGCAAGGAAACATAGCAGTCACACTAAGAGAGTGGGTTCAGTTTAGAGATTTCATGGCCTGGCAATCTACAGATAATTTATAAGAGCTTATAGTTATTGTATTGCTTCATAAACCAAGTAATTGAGGAGAGGTAGATTTCAGTCAGGCAAAGAAATGGGTTAAAACTTGCATTTATCATAAAATTTTATATTAAACCAATCTTATGGTTGCATAATTTTATAAACATTTCAAAATTTGAGCAGGAATTGCAGCTGCTAAACAAAATAAACTGAAGATTTGAAAAACAGACTTGAGGGCGAATTTAGTGGAAGAGAAGCTGTAAGAACAGGGGACAGTGAAAGGCAAAGTATGAAGTCTCAGTAATGCTTCCACAGAATTTAGTAGAATGTTTCCATACTACTAACATTCAGTAAGATTATGAAAGGCAGAGTGATTACCAATAAAATAGTACAAGATCAAGAAAACAAAAGCTTTAACTCCATATATGATCTTCAAATGCCAATGATAGAAAAGCTGTCAAAAGGCACAAAGTTAAAACAGCATAAGTACAGAAACTTACTATTAATGAAACCAGAAAAGAAAAAAACAAAAATGAAGTCAACCAACTACTTACAGGAATATCTGTGTTCAGAGCTACTAGTGCACTTGATGAAAAACATATAACTGAAATAATTGCTAAACTGACAACCTGCGTGTGAAGCAAATTTGTCATTACAACAATCTATTCAGAAAGTGGCTATACCTACATTTTAAGTAATTATAATTTTCAATAGGAGTGGAACATGTAAAACGCATATAGATTAAGCGCAAATTAAGTTAACAAGCATGGGTTCTGCAACTAACCTTCCACATTTCTGATGAAGCTTTCTCAGATCGTACATTCCTTAATCTGAAGAATAAAAGGAGACCTATAGAGGGGAATAGATTAATGAAGAAGAAAATTACTGACTCAAATGGTTGTAAGGGAGAGCAAGAACACTCGGTAGCTTACCATAGTAGCCTAATGCTCCAGCCAATATAAGTACCATTACAGCCAGAAATGTTTCATATACCTACAAAAGTTGCAATAACTGACAGATAATAACTGGCATACAAAGGCCTTCCAACAACACTATGGTTAATTTCACCAACAAAAGACAAACATTAAATCCTTTTTCTTTGTAAGCCCTGGGAAGCTTTGAAGTTGATTTTTATGCATAATAATGTGTAAATTGACTATAAAAAAGAGAAATAACAGGCTACAGTTTGAAAATTGATAATGTGCTTGTCTCAAATTATATTGATAATATTAATGCTTTTCATACTAAGCTTTGAAGCTGTTTTTTGCTTTTATAGTAGATTGAGTTTTTAGCACTTCAGTAAAGCTGTCATGCCAATCCAGATGGAATGCAATGAATTTTATCTATGAAGTTTTGGATATAAGCAAAAGAATTTATACCCTCAGTGATTTAACAGACACCAAATGTATTTATATGTAAGTTAAACGTACATCCTTAATTGAAACTCTAAACCACCAAATAAATCTAACTTTTTTCCCCATGGTTGCTTCTCACTTCACCGTATATGGTTCCACATAACTTCTACCACCCTCAAGTCTCAATTATGAATGCAAAAACATAGCTGTCCTCTACTCAAGCCAATTATTCAATTGCTTCTATATATTTGAACTATTCTATGCGGTAAAGAACGTAATCCGAGGTAAAGAATGTAATCCCTAATACACCAATGCATCGTCATGTAATTGGAACTAATTTTTACTGATAAAAAGTAAAAAGCAATGGAAACTAGCTCCTTATAAGAACAGAAAAATGCAGAAAATAAAAGATAAAACTAGAGCTCTGCAGATGCACAAAACCTCTCAATTTATGCCTACTTCCCCTCTCTCTCTCTCCTCTTAATCATTTTCTCTAACCAAACTCACACCTTCCCCCACTCTTCCCTGCCATGTGAGAGAATACAGTTATTCCCATAGTGAATATTCCTTTAGCCACCATACTATCCATGTGGTGGTCAAGTGCCTTATGGTCTTTACTCCTACATGCCTATCCATATGACTCAAATATCAATTAGGCAGGTGATATGACACAAGTAGCTTCTAAATCAAAGCAGTACAGCGAAATCTGTACATCAAAAGATGATTTTAGAAAAAACCATGAAACCAGTTAAACCCAAGTTCTTTCTTCTATGGTGAAAGTGCAAGTTTTCCAACTTGTAAATGTTAAATGTGCCAATAACCTTCTTTATGTGTTTATTTATTAACACCCTTATTCTCTACCAGAAATCATATGCTACGATAGGCAACAACCTTGTATGAAATGTTCAGCATTCACAACAGAGACAAACTCATGAAATTAATTTAGATATCTCCCACAAGATAAAAAGCTAGATGATGCATGGAGAAGCGTCTCATACCCGAGCAACTAATGAAGGATTTATTGGAATTTTGTTATCTCCCATCCATATCAGCATAGCGAATGACATCATCACACCAAAGATAAGAACCACAATCTGGAGGACGAAAAGCTTCAAAATCACATGACATGAAGAATTTATTCTTTGTTTTTCGGATAAAAAATATAGTGATTAAACTTATTCATAAGAAGACAATTCCTAGATCCATCTCATCTACCACTATGGCATATTTTTGACGGCTACCAATGCGTTGGATTGAGCAGCATCTTCGGTGTTCTCTCATGGGAGATGAATCACGTTCCCTCTTGATACCTTCCAACAAGGCCTGCTGGGTCCTATTCTCAACATTATCCTCTTCCTCCTCTTCTTCATTTTCCTGATGGAAAAGGTCGACCCTACAAAATTATTGCCCATAGAAGCATACATACAATTCATAAATTACTGTTCCATAATAGAAGGAGTTTCATATGAGGCATAAATCATGTACAGTTTGCAAAGCATCAAACAAATGTTATGTGCAGTACAATATATTTTTTAGTTCATTGATATTTTGAAGAAAAGCTTGGAGCAAAAAAAATACATTTAATTGTATAAATTCAGAAACAAAATTATCATTGTCATCAACACGATGATGGATTCTAATAAGATGGAATTGTCAGTAAAAATATAGAAATATTTGAAGTCCTAAGTAATCAAAACTTATAAAATAAAGTTATATCCTACTTGAATATAAAATAATAGAAGAATAATATGTTGTGTATTGATCTGTGTCAGAGAGTTACAATATATAGAGACCCTAATGGGCTTAAGTGAAAGGCCCAAACCTAATCCTAATACAGTCAGGATACAGTCAGAAATATTTACGGATAAGACGGAATCCAATCATATCTAATCATATCATATCTAATATTCTAACACTCCCCCTCAAGCTGATGCGTATATATTATGAGCACCAAGCTTGTTACAAATGTATTCAACCCGAGGACCTCTAAGAGCTTTAGTGAAAACATCCGCTAGTTGATCAGAGGAGTTGACGAAAGCAGTCTTGATTTCTCCTGACTGAATCTTTTCTCGAATGAAGTGACAATCAATCTCTATATGTTTGGTCCTCTCATGAAAGACAGGATTAGAGGATATATGTAGCGCAACTTGATTATCACAGATGAGTGTCATGGGTTGTTTCTGTTCACAAAGATGAAGCTCCTGAATCAACTGCTTTAACCAGACTAACTCACAGGTAGCATTTGCCATTGCACGATACTCAGCTTCTGCACTGGATCGAGCAACAACAGGTTGTTTCTTGCTCTTCCACGAAATTAAGTTTCCTCCAAAGAAGACACAATAGCCAGAAGTAGAGCGCCAGTCCGAGAGTGATCCTGCCCAATCAGCATCTGAATAACCACAAATTTCTGTATTTTCCTGATCTGAATACAACAAACCTTTTCCTAGTGCTCCTTTGATGTATCGGAGGATCCTCACAGCAGCATCCCAATGTGAATCACAAGGGGAATCAAGAAACTGACTAGCCGTACTAACAGCGAAAGAAATATCTGGCCTAGTCACAGTAAGATAGTTGAGCTTCCCAATTAGCCTCCAATAACGTCCAGGATCAGATAACGGCTCCCCCTGTCCGGGCAATAACTTGACATTAGGATCCATAAGTGTATCAACTGGTTTACTCCCCAACATACCAGTTTCTTCTAGGATATCCACGGCATATTTCCTTTGACAGATAGAAATGCCCTGTCTGGATTGCGCCACCTCAATTCCCAAGAAGTAACGCAGCTTCCCAAGGTCCTTTGTTTGAAATGTACTAAACAAATGCTGTTTTAACTCACGAATTCCGTCTTGATCACTTCCGGTGATAATAATGTCGTTAACATAGACTAACAAATAGATACACTTATCAGGAGATGTAATCCTATAAAACACAGAATGGTCAACTTTACTGCGGATTAAGCCAAACGCCTGAACAGCAGAACTGAAGCGACTGAACCATGCTCGAGGAGACTGCTTGAGACCATATAAGGATTTCCGAAGACGACACACCTTTCCAGACTCCCCCTGAGCAACAAAACCAGGTGGTTGCTCCATGTAAACTTCTTGTAAATCACCATGAAGAAAGGCATTTTTGATGTCAAGTTGAAGGAGTGGCCAGTGACGAACAGCAGCAAGGGCAAGAAAGAGGCGGACTGACGCCATCTTAGCGACCGGAGAAAATGTATCGCTATAATCAAGGCCAAAGATTTGAGTAAAACCCTTGGCAACTAAACGTGCCTTGAGACGATCAATATGGCCATCAGGTCCAACTTTCACAGTAAAAACCCAGTGACAACCAACTATAGACTTCTCTGGAGGAGCAGAAACAAGGTCCCAAGTGCCATTGGAATGAAGTGCAGTCATCTCATCAAGCATTGCTTGGCGCCACCCTGGATGGGAAAGTGCTTCACCTGTGGTCTTAGGAATAGAAATAGAAGAAAGACTAGAAACAAAGGTGAAATGAGGTGAAGAAAGACGGTCATAACTCAAAAAGGTATAAAGAGGATAAGGGTTACGAGTAGTACGTGTATCTTTTCTTTGAGCAATGAGAAGAGTCTCTGATGAAGGATCCGGAGGGGAAGAAGCAACAGCAGTGGGTGATGAGTCAGCAAGAGTTGAGTCGACAGGAGGCACAGTTTTGCGACGCTGATAGGTGAGAAGTGGACGGTCCACAGGTATAGAAGTAATAGGTTGCTCATCTGGAATAGAAGCACCTGCAGTTGGCAAAGACAAGTCAAGAAAAGGGACAGGAAGTACATGATCAACCTGTGACATCTGAGATGGGATAGAATTAAAGGGTTGTTGATCAAGAAAAGTGACATCAGCGGAAACTAAGTAACGCTTAAGGTCGGGAGAATAACAACGATAACCCTTTTGAAGACGAGAATAACCAAGAAAGATACACTGAAAGGCCTTAGATGTTAACTTATCCTTACCAGGAGTGAGATCATGAACAAAACAAGTACAACCAAAGACATGTGGAGTTAGAGGATAAAGAGGAACATCTGGAAGCAATAGATTATGAGGAATGTCATTGTGGAGCACAAATGAAGGCATGCGATTGATGAGAAAACAAGAGATGAGTACAGCATCTGCCCAGAAGTGAAGGGGAACCTGCATATGAATAAGAAAGGTATGGGCAGTTTCAATGAGATGTCTGTTTTTACGTTCAGCCACCCCATTTTGTTGTGGAGTGTGAGGACAAGTAGTTTGATGTAAAGTACCTTGTGTGGCCAAGAAATTAGAAAAATCAATAGAAACATATTCCTTAGCATTATCACTACGTAGAATACGAATAGAAACACCAAATTGAGTATGGCTCTCAGTAGAAAACTTTTTATAAATGGAAAATAGCTCGGAACGATTTTTCATTAAATAGGTCCAAGTGCAACGGGAAAAATCATCAATAAAGGTAACGAAATACCGAAAACCTAAGACAGACAAGGTACGACTTGGACCCCAGATATCTGAATGAATAAGAGAGAAAGGGGCATCAGCTCGTTTATTGACTCGACTGGCAAAAGAGGAGCGTGTATGCTTCCCTTGTTGACATGACACACAATCTAAAGACTGAAGACCGGACAAAAGAGGAACCATTTTCTGCAACTTTGAAAGACTTGGATGACCAAGGCGACTGTGGATAAGTTGTGGAGATTCTGTGAGAGAGCATGCTACTGAAGGACGAGGCACATCCAGATAATAAAGCCCCCGTGACTCACGACCCACTCCAATCATTTTCCCCGTACCCGGATCCTGCACAGAAACAGAATGGTTAGAGAAAGTAATGGTGCAAGTGAGGGAGTGGATCAACTTACTAATAGAAATTAAGTTATAAGGGATGCCAGGAATGTAATAGACAGATGTCAGGGCCAAGGTAGGGGTCGGACGAGCTTGTCCAATCCCACGAACTGGGGCTTTGGTTCCATCCGCAAGGATAAAAGACGGTAAATGATCAGAATAAGTAAGAGATGTAAAGAGTTCCTTATTACCACAGAGATGATCGGTAGCACCGGAGTCAAATATCCAAGTGCCAAGTGATGTAGAATGAGAAACACAAGCAACAGGATTACCAGTATAAGGCTGAGACTGAGGAGAAGCCTTCCTGAGAGGGGTTTGGAGTGCAGCATAGTCCGAACCTGAACCAAATGATGCATTGTCTGACTGAGCTATATTTGCAACAATAGAAGGAGAGTTAACCTCCGAGAGATCAGGAGATGCTGCTGCCATTTAAAGATAAAATATAAAAGCCGTAAACGAAGGCAAACGATATCCAATCAAGAAGAACCACGCGTCTAAGGTCAGACCCACAGAGAAACAATCACAGATCCAGAAAGGGGAGGAGAAGGCGAGCTTCTCTGTCCAAGACCGGCCGGAAAAAGTCGCCGGAATAGTGCTCACGCGCCGGCAGAAGGTGGCGCGTGAAGCCCACGCGCAGAGAAGACAGGTGGCGCGTGACGGCGCGTGGGAGATGCGTTGCTGACCGGACCACCACAGACCTGGTCGCCGGGAAGAGAGGGTCCTGATCGCGTGAAGTTTGGTCGGAAAAGTCGCCGGAAAAAGTCTCCGGTTGCCTGAACAGTGATTCTGACAGCGGGCGGTGGTTCCGGTGGCCGTCGGAGGTGCTAACGCGTTTGGAAAAATCACTCAAAGGCTGTTTACAGCCCTAGAAGGCTTGCCAGAAGGACGCACGGCAAGAAAGAGGACTCCTAAGCAGTGGGCTTAGGTTTTAAAGCAAAAAACAAGGTTTCTAAGCGGAAGCGAGGGTTCCTAGAACGAAAGAGCTCTGATACCAACTTGAATATAAAATAATAGAAGAATAATATGTTGTGTATTGATCTGTGTCAGAGAGTTACAATATATAGAGACCCTAATGGGCTTAAGTGAAAGGCCCAAACCTAATCCTAATACAGTCAGGATACAGTCAGAATATTTACGGATAAGACGGAATCCAATCATATCTAATCATATCATATCTAATATTCTAACAATCCTAATTACAATAGTTATATCACAAATTTCAAATTTAGTGGGCCATATGAGAAAATACTAAAAAGGACACGCATTGTAAAACTAATTCCAAAGCAAAGCAACATCGATATCACAAAGATACTAATCTTTTCTTTTGTCCTCTTTCTGTTTTCTGTAGCTTCATATGACAAAGACGGAGTATAAGAAATCATTAAAAGAGCACATCACACCTCCAGAGTGATGCTTTCTGACTGCCTAGGAAAGAAGATTGCTGAATCTTCTGCTCCTTTCATATCACCCCAAACCTTGTCAAATATCTTCTGCTTTCTGACCTTTCAAAATCCTTAAAAATGCGAACTATCTAATCTCCAATCACCAGAACATAAAGTTGGATTATAGTCTAGAATATAAATTACACCAAGATACGATATAAGTTCCAAACATACTTCCACTTCCTGCTCTAATCTCTATCTCTCCAAGTCATCCTTAGCCCATTTTACCTATACAGATTTTCAAACTATCTATCTTCCACCTGATATTCTATCATAAAGGAACAATCAATCTTTTTTCCATAGCAAAATTGTCCTACGTCATTCTTTTTGTTGATCACCGATCTTACTATTACCTACTAGTAATATGGGCATGGAACATTGGAAGTCGGGACAATATATATATATATATATATATATATGAACATACAAGAACGATACTGTGACATACCAGAATGATAGCAGGAGGAGAAATGCAGCCAAAAACAGAACTTTGGGGGAGGCTGCAGCAATAATTCATTAGTAAGAATGAAGGGTAGACAATCAAGTCTAAACAAACAGACTTTGAAACATAAATTTTGGTTACACATACGTTCAAGATTAAATAAAACATACCCATAAGAATAAAACCGCAAGCACCAGACCAACAAAGCCACCCATTACAAATAGCAAAAACAGTACTTGTAAAATAGATAAAGTACCCTGTGAATAGATGGGAAAAAATAGTCAACTGCTGCTGTCAATTTTCTATACATTATCTCTCTTTAACAACACAAATATTGAATCCCATGTTTGTAATCTCTAGTAAGAGTCATCCAGTCATGACAAAAATAGATTCACATGCATGACCTTGCATTCTAAGAAATACGGGGAAATGACAACCTCAAGCTTGGCCCAGATGTAAATTATTCTAAAAAATTATTGTAGTTGCAGTTGGCAACAAGATCAACGTTGTTAAAAAATTATATTACATCTACGTCACAACAGGGTGATAAAACATGAGAATCTCTACATGTTTCTTTAAAATCAACTTGATATACCTTAGTAAACATCTTCACTAGAACTGCCAAAGAAAGTTTGTAAAATTTGATAAAAATATAATGGAGTTGAATGAACCGAGTACGCTAACATGCAGAGCTTCCTATTCCTTAACTTTAGACATATTGCATTATGATGCAAGCTAGCAACACAGCATGGTGAAGTGTCTCATAAAACTAAGTTTCAATAGTTTTTAATAGTAAAACAAGAAAAAAGGGATTCTATCTTTAAAATGATCCATTTTTGCCACACACAAAAATGTCAGAAATGAGTTCAATGATCATGAAATGTGAAACAGGGGATATTGTTCGTTGCATCAAACAGAGAATCTCAACCATACCCAAGTTGGAAGTGCCGACCATGAGATGAAGTACCTGAAAAATAGCAGACAATATTGTCAAATGTCAAAGAACCTATTTTATGGATGAAAATAACAATATTAGAGAGATGAAAGAGATATTATGAAAAAAGTGGAGGGCAAGAATTTCTCCTGTGCAAGGAACAACAAAGAAACAAAGGGAATTCAAACAAAGACATCAAAACAATAACCTTTCCAATCCATTTATATAAAAATCATTGTCCAAAAACTATGTTGTCCCATATTCAAATGTAAAGGCTGAGTTTAATTCTTGAAGCATTTTTCTCAGGCCAAATACACCAAAAAGAAGCATAGACAGCAAAATGAAGAAAAACCCTTCCCTCCTTAGACGACCTACTAAATCTTCTAAAGGTAATCAAAAGAAATTACTCCAAGTCAAGAGGACACACCAGGTTTCACCAAAGACACCAAATAAGCTACTCAAAATAAGCTATCCATTTATAAATGCTAATATGATATTCATGACAGAAAATTATTAGAATGTACTTCAAACATCAGAATCAATAAAGATAATTTGAAAATAAGTTGATAAGATGCCACAAACTTTTTGGCGTGTCCAGACATTTTGTTGACTTCGCAAATGAATCCTGAGGACCTGCCATGTGATGATGCTAAATTATGTCATACTGGGAGAATGAAACAAGAAATAATTTTGGAAAATTAATTATTCTTGAATATTATTTAACTTGGGTTGAATGTCACATAACATAGTGGCAACAACAGAAGCAAGAGTAATTGTATCATTGATTTAGTTAGGACATGCAAATAAGAAAAATAAAACGAAAAGAATAACTCCAAGCTTACTTGCAGTTAGTTAAGCTTTTTCACCCTTTTATGCTATTACAAGAGGAAAAAGAAAGGAAAAGAAGAAAACTCCTGACTAGCAGACATAATATATTAATATCAAGTTAGTAAAAGCAACAAGATTTGGAACTTGAAAAATCAATATTAAAAACGTTTCATATTCATGTTTTGTGTTTCATTGACTAATCAAGCTTATGAGCATCCAGTAAAATCAACACTACAAGCAGAATTGTGAAAAATATTTTATACATATTTATTTATACATGTTAGCAAGACCACAGAACTGCCACCTCAGATACTTCAACTAGTGATCAAGGGAGTGCTAGTATCACATAATAAGTAAAGTTTTTCTTACTCCCCTTTTTCTTGGGAGAAACACGTGGGCAATATTATAATGAAGAAGGGATGGAATTTTATACAAGGGGATACTACATAGTCAAGTGAATGAACTTTTCTTTTTTCATCCCAAAAAAAAAAAAAAAAAAAAATCCTATTTGCCTTGTTTCCAAATTCCAGCATCTAAAAGATACCCCGAATGATGTACCTCTGAAAAATGGGATTTTGAAGGGGAAAAAAAAAAAAAAAACTATCCCCCCTCCCCAACATACTACTTAAACACCAAACCATTGACAATATTTGAAGCACATTGACTGTTAAAAATCACAGGACATTATAATGGAAAGCTAACAACCAAGGTACAAACAAATGAAGATCGAAACCTGAGCAAATGCAATAATGGCAAGAATGCCATCGAAGCAAGCCAGAGCCACATTGAGGACGATAAAGTCCACCGTGAAGCAATTCCAATTCTCAGTCATAGATTACAACGACCCTCTTCACCTTGCCAAAAAAAAAAAACCTATACTTTTGGGTGGAGAAACCCAGAAAAAAAAAAAAAAAAAAGATTAAGCAGAAACAAAGAGACAGAGAGACAGAGAGACAGACAGGTTTTATAGTTCGTGGAAGACTATGTAGAAGATGCTCTCTGTTTATAAAGTGGGGTGTGTGTGCGTGTGCGTGTAGGTCAAACAAAACTTGATTTTGTTATCTGGGACTCCTTTGTTTGTGGCTAATGGCAACAATCAGGGGTCATAAATTACATTAACAACGAGACTTATAGATTTTCCTCGTTGACCTTCTTTTGGTTTTTAGTTACTCATATAATAACATATAAATAGTAATTAATGTGTGGTATGTTTGTTTAGTATGGTTTGTTTACGGTCATGCTCCCACATTTTTGTCCTCAATTATTTATTTAAATATATGAGTTCAAAATAAAATCTTTAAATTGGGTTTTGAGAATAATTCTATTGAGATTTTTTTATTTACAAAAAGTGTGAGTGTATGATACATGACATATCTTGTGCCATATCATAGACACAAAAAATGGGATCCATATCTTTTTAATTGTTTTTATTTTATTTTTTTAATGAAATTCACATCTTGTTGTGTCTATGACATGACACAAAATGTGTCATGTAACATAATACTCATATTTCTCTTTATTTATTTTATTCTCTTTTTGCTATCTTTCAGTTGGGAAATTAAATATTAAAACTGTGGTTTGAAAATTGAAATGTTGTTTACCTGTAAATTAGGGACGGTTCTAATAGTTTGAGAAATATCATTTATCATGAAAAAGGATATGGCGCGTAATTAATTTTTGGTTAAAATCTATGCAGACATAGTCATGTTAATTTTCACATAAGAGAATTCAGATCCATAATCTCATGATTATAAACAGTAGAAGTTTATAAGCGTCCTCAACTCTTTTTGTTTGTGTGGATTAGGAAAAAAAATCTCATATTTATTATTTCGAGAAAAGAAAATCTTATAGTCATTAATGTGAGAGGAAACACACACAAAAAAATATTTTAAGAAAAGGAATGGTCAGCAAGACAATTGCCCCTGGTAAGTGGTAACATGAATTAAACCATTTGATGCATTGTCAGGTTAATGCTTATATCCAATGAATTATTATATAATGTTTAAATAACATCGATTAAACTATAAGTAATAAAATAAAAATTCAAACCAACAAAATAACCAAGAAAAGAGAGAGAGAGAATTGGAATCATTTTGTATCGTGTGAGAAAAAGGAGAGAATACTAATAAATGATGGGTCTTATGAATCAACCGGAATTAGAGAATATAAAATAAATAAGGATGGTTTTGATGAAAATATGGGGAAAAAAAGTATCCTTTTAAATGACGCTGGTGTCATTTTAGGTGTTTTACACAAAGTACGACCGGTAGGATTTTGTGTAAAATTGAAAAGTTACTTTTTTTTCTCTTTCCTAAGTCACATCACTGACGTGTAAAGTGAAAAAAAAATTCACTTTTTCAGAATTACACAGAGTAGAACCGATCGTACTCTACTTAAATCACTAAAAAGACATAACTTGTGTTTTTTGAACACTAAAAATATTTGTATCATTTATTAGCTTGCAGAGGATCCGTTACAATAAATGACAATACTCGTACAGCCAGCCCACAGTGGGGTTGGGATATTTTACGAGGAGGCTAAATTTTATATATATATATATATATATATATATATATATATATATATATATATATGAGACATTATTTTTTGACATCAGTGTCAAATTTCAAATTTGACATCTCATCTAAGAGTCGTTAGATAAAAAAAGATCAACGATTGATAAATATAATATAATATAAAGATACAATTAATTTGATTATCAAATATAATTAATTTTATTTGTTTTATGTTGATATAATGATATTGATATTTAAATAGGTATCAAATATATTGAGATTGATTAAAAAATAAATTAAATTTTGTCATGTTTAAATTTACTTTGTAATTAATTTTTAAATTTTAATTCTATTCTTCCTATCTTATTTTTCTATAATATATTAATATTTAAATAGACATAAAAAATATTTGAGATTAGGTAAAAAAATAAATAAATAAATTTTATTATGTTTAAATTTATTTTTATCCAATTTTTAAATTCTGATTTAATTATTCTTATCTTATTTATTTATTATTTATTTATTTATTTATTTATTATATATTGATTTTTATATAAGCATTAATATATTTAAAATTGACAAGAAAACAAAACCAACTTTATTATATTTAAATTTACTTTCATTCAAAGTGTACTCCTTCTATATCTTCTCAATATATTTCATATTTTTATATCTTTTAAACTAATTCAAACTATAACAAAATTAAAGGAAAACCTAACAAACAACTCTTATAATAAGATAGTGGGTGTGATTGATATCAAGCATAACTGTTCAAATATTATTTAGGCAATATTAAAAATCAATTTTTTAAATAAAAAAAATTGAAAGGGAATGATCGCCCATTCGCCCCTAAACTCCTCTCCCTCCACCATTAATTGCATTCAACCCCACTCCTTTCCTTTTACGTTACTATCCATGAATGAGTACCATACCAATCATTGCTAAGATTTTAAGTAAGATATAGTACGTGATCTAGTCACCTACAAATAATCACACCAATTTAGTTAGTAGAAAAAAAGAAGTAGATATCATATAATTATCTTGTGAAAAAATGACATAAATGTCAAAGGTGAACAGTGGAGTAGACCACTTAGCTTTTTCATTGATTCTGTTTGTGTCATTCCATTATATAATTATACTTGTGGTGCTGCCTCTTAAATAGTTAACCATATTGGTTACAGTACAGCTCCTTTATTTCGTTCCAATGGTTCCTTTCAAATTCCTCTTTATTTAATGGAGTTCGCAGACCATTTAAATTTTGTCCCCGTTTTCATAGTGTTACACGTTGTTGGTATGTTCATGGTCATGGGTCCCAAGCTCCTCACTTAATGTTCCCATAACACAATTAAATTCAGGTTTCCTTCCCTAAACAATCTCATATCAATATGAACACTTTTTCTTTCTTATATTAATAGTTCTTATTGTGACTTTAATTTCTATTGTTTTTCTTTCTTATTTACTTCTGTTAGATATTTAAATTATTTGTGGACGTCACCTTGTAATTTTTGGGAATAATTATTTTTTAACATATCATAATATCTTTGACTAAATGATTAAAAACTCGATATTCACTAACCATATTTTTCATACTCGAAATTAAGTTTCAATACAATCTAAAATTAATTCTATTTAAATTTCAGATATCAAACGTTCATATTAGCCAGATATTTGAAATTTTTAGGCGACTTTTTCTAAAAATAGACACATATTAATATTTCATATTTGATTATTAATATTTTTAAGATAAAATTGTTTTTAAAGTTGATGGACGTCCGGCTAGTAATCCTGATTGTTGATTCTCATTTACTCCTCTTATTTGTGGTTATGATTCCCTAGCAAAAACGTCCAACAACTTGAGAAAAGATAACCCTATTTTTTAAATGGGGTTTACATTTCTGTACGTGCAGCAATCAAATATTTGTCATATATATACTTCAAAGTATTAAATGCGGGGAATTATAACCATACAAAAGATGAAAACATTAAATATGAGAAATCATAATCATACACCTGTCGTTGTTGTACGTAAAGCGGCGGTAGAAATGATTTTACCTTTTTAAATTGATAATTAGAATTAATAATCAAAATCTCTCTCTTCATTAAAGTTATATTTTCCTATTCTTTTTTCTTAATAATGTCAAGATTCTCTATTTTACTTCCTTGTTAAGTTAGACAATTTTAAACTATTAGATTAAAATAAAATCAAAGTGTACACTCAATGTATGTGAATTTTTTTCCACATTTAACGAAAAATGTCTAAATTAAGTAGACATTTTTTTTTTATTATTATTTAATAGTAACGTTCTAAAATCAGGTCCAGAAGCTGAGTCATCCATTTGTAGGTCCAATCCATTTGTTTCCTTCCAACCTTCGAAGCATTGATTTTGACAATGAGCCTTGAGATAAGTTACGCATATGATAAAAATTTAATATTATATAGTATTTAAAGTAACATCGTATAAGTTATTATATTACACAAAATATTTTCATTTTGTGTTTGATCATTTACTTCATAGTATTAAATTTTTTTGTTATATTAATTTTCAGGGAAATAAAAATTCTAGAGACTTAAAAAAACTCATGACTATTATGTATATATAATAAAAAAAAAGTTTACATACATAAATTAACAAAATTCTAAAAAAAAAAAAAACCCAATAGCCAATGACAGATTTCGGAGGGTCTTGCATAAGCCTTGATTCCTTACGATGGTCTAAACAATAAACTTATATTTATATACGTGTATGCACTAATATTTTTATTACTATCTATGCATTAGTATACAACTAAATATTAAAAATTTAATTTTATTATTGTGCTTTATATTATTTATATGACTACTTTGAATAATTTTAAAAAATATATTTATTAAAATTTGACACTAATTTATTGTGTAATAAATTTTATGTTATGAAAAAAGTATTATATTTAACCTTAACAAAATTATAATACAATTAATTTTTTAAATATATAATACATTAATTTTATTCCAAAGATGCATTGTATTTTAGAGAAACAATTACATCCAATTTCCATTTTGTACTCTCTGGAAAGGTAAATAAATGTATTACTTGTTTTGAAAAATAGAGAGAGAGGGAGAGCAAAGAAAATGGTACTTAATACTGTAGCACCTCAGATTCCTCCAGATTTTGAAAGTTGCTTTAAAGCATTAGCAATCTTTTCTTCTGTTGTTTCACTAATGCAAGCTATAAAGGGACTCTCATTTGGAACAATGTCATTTCTTTGGTAGCTTCCTGGACCTCTAAGCATCTCTTCTGAACCCTTAGACACCACTCCCTTCATGATTATGGTCTTATGAGTACCAGATATCATTTCCTCATAATCAGTGTCCCCAGTTTCTCCAAGTATGACATACATGTTTGCAACATTCAATCTCCAACGGACAAAGAGATACCTAAATATAAGCAAATAATAAGCACTACTCAATTACTGAATATTATGAATAGATTAAAACATTAGTTACACCTACCTACCTTTAAAACCCTTTATTCTTTAGTCTTTACTATGAAGTATGAACTATTACCTGAGTGCTTGGGCTCTAGATGCAAGAAGTGGAATAACATGCATTCTAGAAGACCCCTTGCAGTACATAGGATGACAGCGTAGACCTCTCATCCTAAGCTTCTGTCTTAAGTCATCAACTTTCTTTGCCTGAAATAGACAATGAACAGCATCATTTTTAATCAATTTTCATGTGCCTTAGCTTCTGCCATTATGCAAATACAGTAGTAAATTTCATTTACCTTACTAAGATCCTTTATTTTGTATGATATGCAATGGGCATTGCTTGATTTTGGATCTTCCTCAATGGGGCTAGAACTTGTTTTGGAATTTTCTTCACCCTCAGAAGTATTCATAAGTTTCCAAATGGTTTTCTTGAGACCTTCACAACCCCAACGATAGTCAATGTGTACCTCATAATCTGGATCAGGCAAAAGCTTTCCTTCTTCTGTATGAATACCAGGGTAGTAAACTTCACTCCCACTACTACAAATTAAAGCATCAAACTCATTTACTGGTATTTTGCATGATGCAAGGAACTCTATTGTTTCTAGCATTGGCATAGCAGTTGATAAAGCAAATCCAGAAACTCTTGCAGTTTGAGGGTCTAGTTGAACAGCTTTAATTATCCTTTGAACTATCTGGATCATCTTCTTATCAGGAGCTCCATTGTTGTCATATATATCAAGTGCTATAACAATCAACCTACGTCTTCTCCTCAATAGAGGGTATTTGTTGGTTACATTGTCAAGCAGCATATTCTCAACATTTGAACCAGAATCTGGCTTCCTTATCTTATTTCCACCATCCTGATTTTGACCAGAATCTGACTTCCTTATCTTGTTTAGGACCCTTTTCACTTGGTCTTGCATATCAAGGCCACCACTTGCTGCAGCCAAATCGCCATCAATTGAGAGCCTAAGGGACATGTCCTGAACATCCTTCAGTGAATCATTGAAAGACTCTTCAACAGCTACATCATCCTCAGGAGTATTGGTTTGCCATTGAGGATGCCTCATCCGGCATGCTGCCACCCGAGTCAAATAAGTACGACAGTGTTCAGGCCATGAGAAAAGGTGTATGTTCTTCCAACCATTGTTCCTGCACTCAAGCCATAGGCTTTTCTCTGACAACAACTTAAGCAATGCATCAGCAATTGCTTGCTGATCATGAGGGTCCACAAGTAAACCATTGTGGAGGGCCTAACATATGACAAGAAGACATAACAAGAGGCTGCAAGGTCATTATACATCAAAATGGTCCCTGTGCATAGTTGATTCTGCTTGATTTCCAAAATAAACAAAACAGGATAAAGGAAATTTGGAATCTACAACAGCCTAACCACTACAGATTATCTCATTTTATTTTCCAATGCCTTAATGGCCTTAAAACATATAGGAACTTCCTAACATGCACCATTTAACTAACTGTGATATATATATAAAGGCAATTCTACAATTACCCGATTAATGTCCACTGGTCCCCCATTTTTAGTGGCCACCATTGGCAGTCCATGTGCAGCTGCCTGCATGAGTTGAAACATGTTTAATAATAATCACTTTAGCATTAAAATGAGAATAATGTCACCAAAGTGTCTAGTTAGTTAAAACCTACCTCAATTAAAGTAAGACCAAAAGGTTCCACTAAAGCCGGATTTATGAAAACCCCCTGAGAAAAATTTCAAACTAGTTAGTTGCCCATCAATGTTAAAACATAAGGAGTAATTTTTATACATTACAACTTGAGCATACCTTTGTTTTTGCAGCAAGTCTATATATCTCTGGAACATCAGATTGCGTGTGATGTTTAGGAAATGCAACTTGCCCATATAGGTCATACTTATCAATCAATTTCAACACTGTTATGAGCACGCTACCATTCCCAGAAGACATCTCATCTATGTCATCCCTGTTTCCCATTATAAGCGTCTATTTGAAAACATATTATTAGTCTTTTTACAAATGCTGAACCATAGTTTCAACCAAGTAGGAAGTTGAATTATGTCAACTTACAAGATTAGCTAATTCTCTTAAGGGACGGGATTCTCCAAAAGCTTTTAACAAAGTCGTTATGTTCTTTTTTGGATCTGGCCTTGATAAGGCCAAGATCATAGGCTTGTGAGGATTTGTGAAGAAACGCATCAACTACACAAAGTTATTAGTTGCAAGTAAATAACAGTGACTAAAGGTGTAATAGAAGATATGTAGACACATTATCAGTTACTCACTTCTAACAAGATTGCAGGTATAGCTTTAGTTGAAGACCCATCAGCACCACCAGTAAGCTGTGTGAGATCCCCATCAACTTCAGGACCATCTTCTTGTATCACAACATTGCTAAAGTCCATACCAGGTGGGATAACCTGCAAAAAATATTATAACTTCAATTTCTTGTATCAAAACATTGTTCAAGTACATGCAGTTGTTTCCTTTTTCCAAAACTAGTTTCAACAAGGTTAAAGAGCTAAAAATATCATAACATTAATTTCAACTTTCCAAAACTACTTGTTTCCTCACAAACCTTTTGGACTTAAAATATGGATAATATACAGGCCCACCACATCGAGAATCCATTTTTTAAGGGATTGAAACATGAAACATTATACCATGATAAACAACCACTTCACCTAAAAGTTCAAGTTGTTAGGTAAGGGTCTCGTTAATGGTTTTATATATTACTTCTCTAACATCGATTGCATTCTTACCGCCATCCTTGGCATGTATCGACCATGACAATTGACACCACGTCTAGCACGAGCACGCAAAACTTTCTCAAGCTTGACATCAAACCCATCATAAAGTCCCCATTGCTCTTCAATTTCTTGTTTTGTACTAGTGATGACAAGTTCTGCAGCATCTAGTGAAAGTTCTTCTGCTTCTATTCTCCTCATTATCTTATATGTTGAATTGATATCCTCCTTTGATTGACGACCTTGCTTAAGAAGTTGTTCGAGCTTGTTTCTTCCAAGTGAATGACCTGTGAGCACCATTGGAACATTCAAAGCACCTGAAAGAAGGGCAGCACTATCACCAGCATCAGCATAATGTCCATGAATTACATAAGGCCACACAGGTTGGCCTCCACCAACTTGTTCACCCAATACTTTTGACATATTGAGAATGTGAGCTAAAGCTCCATCTACAAATTCTTGAATATAGGGCCAAAGAAGTTCTTTTTGGAGATATTTATCACGTGGACCAAAGGGTATTCTTATGATATATGCACCACTGCTCTCCCCTGTGTTATCATCATCATCATCAGGACCTGCACTTAGCATTTCTGTTGGTTCTCCATAGCTCCAATCAATTTCAGGAGATGATATTTGGCGTGTGAAGAGATCTACTCTATACACTCCAGGCATTTTTGCAAGTGCACGAGCAAGTTCTACCACATATTTAGTCTGAAAATACATTGATTAAATCATTAAACTCCAATTAAATGGAAGGGAAGGAGCATAATCATGTAAGAATGTGTCAAATACCTGTCCACCCGTATCAGAATCTCGACCAAGCTCCATGTTTTCTCCTCGAACCAATCCATGCAAACTGTAAAAGGACAAGGTCATAGCCACCATTACATTTACATATGTTTGTAGAGTTTATTACCTGAAGCATTTCACAACTAAGAAATGAAAAAATTAGACTACGCTTACACTAAAAAAATGGTTTAAACTTAATCTTGTATCTGACACAAAGAGCTTTAGTTTCTGATCACTGGCTAATTAAATAAATATGAATATAGCTTACACTATGATCAGAACTCCTTTAGACATGGAAACATTCTAAGAAATTTCATTAGCAGTGATGTCATTTCAAAATGATTCTATACCTCAAGAGTATAATATAAAGCTTCTTTTCCTTTTTGTCTTCAGACCAAACTTCCAAGTTGGAAATCTGTCTCTGGAGAATTTTCTTTGGTGTCTCAATTTGTATCATCTCCCCAATACCATCTCCTTTTTCTCCTTCTGACAAATCTTCAGACATGTCCTCTGTTGCATCCCTTCGTCCTTGTTCCCTCTCCCATCTTCGGTTTGCTACTCTCTGGAGTTCCTCCACTTCCAACTACACATAGCACACGCACACAATTTTTCGTAGCCATGTATGCATGATATATGTATGATTGAATATTGCAAATTTGAGTTGATTAACTCAATAATGTAAAGAAAAACCTGCTTCTTCTTGCGGGCAAGATGCCAAATACGCCAGCACATGTTCTCTAACCTTGAGCTACGCTCCCTGGTATTGCGAGTAGCAACCACCTTGATCCAAGTACGGTGCAGGTCAGATTCATCAACACTTGTTACCACTTCTTCCACAAAGTACTTGATGGGATTAAAATGCCCACTTTCTCTTGGAGCCACAACTTTTTGCTCATCAACGGTGGTAGCCCCAGTGGATAATATAGCCTCAAGGTACCCATTAATCCATTCATTGCCAGCCATTATGATCCAAAGTTTCTTTTTGTGTTGTGTGTAACACTATAGTGCAGTGCAGTGCAGACTGCAGTGTTTAACACAACTCAATCTTAGTCATGAACATGGCTGGCTACGTGCTTATTTAGTGAATGTTTCTATGCAGAGACAGAGAACTAAGAGAATTATGACATTGAGGATGCAAAAGATTTGGTGGGAAAGGAAGAGATGTTAAAAATGAGGAGGACAAGGAGAAGTAGAAGCATATCTTAAGGAATGGTGGGTCTTCATTCTTTGTTCAACTTTGTGTATCTTGTTGTGTTGTCTTGTGTGTGTTAGTTAATATATTACTATGTTACTTTTGTTTTGTTGAGGATTTGATGATTTGGGAGGGAAGGATTAACGAGAACTGTTCACCTTTTCCAACGTTTTCCGCTTCCCAATGCGATCTTGCCGCTTGTTATTGCTATCTCTATTGTTTTCTTCCTATAAACCTGCCTCTTTTCATTGTGCTTCTTGATTTTTATTTTCTCTACTGATTTTCTTACTTTTTAAGTTAGACCTGATCAAGCACGTTAATGTTATGTTACCTTTTGGAGTAACTATAGATTCAATTAATTAACAGCACTTATTAAACGATGTAATGACACATATAATTGAATAGTACTCTGTAACGCGTGGCCACTTGCAAGAATCAATCAATGTCCCCACACATTAACACGAGTGTGCTTTGTCCTCACTCGCACACTTTCCGGGAAAACTTTCCAAGAGGTCACTCATCTCAGAATTGCTCCAAGTCAAGCACGCTTAACTGTGGAGTTCTTCCGATCTGGGCTACCGAAAAATAGATATATCTTGTTAGTATAGGTAGTACCAATTAATTCTTATAAGTCATTCCTAATTGTACCGTCCCATACCAGCACAGTCTCTGGAATCCCTCTCTTTCGGGTGTTGATTCGATTCATTCATGAACCCCAAGCTGCAAGATTTGGCATGAGCCGCTCATTGTATGTGCCCTTTCGCACCGGCGATCACTCCCTGCCTTTGCCAGCTCTTGGGATGTTACATACTCTAAATTCTTTTACGTGAATAATATATATCAAAATTAAACCCATAATTTTTAACCATTTTATTCATTTTTTTTTTAAGATATTTCAATTGGTTCATCACTTTGCAATTAGTTCGATTTAAACAGGTTCAGGATTAAGGCTTTAAACTCCTTTCAAAGATTGACATTCGGGAGGATCAAACACATACTCTCACCTACTCAGCTCCATGGCGCCAACTGAGTTACCATCATTTCATAATCACTGTATTAAAAAAAATAAAAAACTCAAAAAAAAAAATTGCCATTGTTGTCACCAACTAGCCTATGACGTTGATATAAATGGTTAAAAATGAAGGTGTCACCTGTTTGTATTTGATGCGAAAGTTTGTGGCAAGTGAGGTATCATCCCACCAAGTGGTAACCTCCATCAACCAAACTTTATCTCTTGACATAGCTTTATCTCTTAACATCTTTGCTTTCATTGTTTATAAGCTTTTTGCACAAAAAGTGCCATTCCGAACTAGAAATAGTCATTGATTATTGTAACCATTATTAGTTATAAGTGATTTCATCAACACATGGTGTACTCAGCAACCGGACAAAGAATGTAGCTATTTGAGGGAGAGTAGGCAAAAGCAGACACACCAATGTTTGGGTCATTTTTTGACACACATTTCTTTGTTATATAATGATTCGGATTCCAACTAATAATTCAAAAGATAAAGGCTACTTGCTGTCTCAAGAGTTTAACTGTTATCTCACTATTAAAATTTCTCCCCATCACATATTGAGATATGTAGATGTAAAAAAAAAAAAAAGTATGAACAACTAATATTTATTAAATTTGAAATAGAACCATTTTCACTTTTTTTTCTTTTTAAATTTTTAAGCTTGTCCTTCTTGTCCAAGATGGCTCAATCTGGCTTCTTGCCATTTTATGGGCTAAAATATTGAAAATTGAACCATCTTGTAATTATTAAAATATCCATACTTTAATTTCCAGAGTCTTAATAAAAAAATTTATTTATTTGCTACAAATCATAGAGTAAACACCCTTTTTAGTCCCTGGCAATATCTACGAAGTCCTTTTCAGTCCCTAGCAATAAAAAAGGACCAAATTGGTCCCTGAAAGTACAAGAAAAAGGCCACTCTACATATTTGGGAGTTGACATAAGGACTAACATGGCCCTTTTTTTGTAATTTCAGGGACCAATTTGGTCCTTTTTTATTGCCAGGGACTAAAAAGAACTTCGTAGATATTGACAGAGACTAAAAAGGGTGTTTACTCAATCATATATAACTTACTCAATACGTACATTCTTTTTGGTCAAAACTTGATCAATACATTAAAATATTTAATATTGCTCATTTCCTCTATTTTTTAATTTTTAATTTTTGTCCTTAGTATTGCTATGTCCTATAAATTCAAAAATATAAAGCCCATATACATCCATAAAACCCTATACAGCCCATAAGAATAAGCCTTTATTTCGGAAGCCCATCTCTGCAAGCGAAGTCCACCTTTTTTTTTTTTTTTGAAATACCGCGAAGTCCACCTTTACCACTTACTGTGGATATTTTTTATATTTTTTTGGTAAATAACTTACTGTGGATATTTAACATTTGATGATTTGTTTAAATCTTGAGCATAGTAGGTTTACATTTTTTTACACTATCATTCAATAATATGTTAAGATGTTATTAATATGGAGAATTGTTTTATGCACAAGAAATTTTTTATCTAGAGAAAAAAAAGGGATGGGGGTCATTAGTTATTATGTTCTTCTCTCTTTTATGGGTTTTTCTCTCTCCTTTTTTTCTTTATGTGACAGATAAAAAAATTTATGTCACAAATGCAAAAAAAAAAATTTGCTATTAAAGTATGAAAGTATGAAAAATAATTTTCTTATATTGTAGGAAAAGAATTATCTCATATAATAAAAATAAAATTACAAATAGAACCCACAGATAAGAATAGAGAGAAAAAATAGATGTGGACTCACTCTTCTTTTGTGCGAGTCGGGAATTTATTTCTCACAACGTAAGAGAAATATAACTCTTAAAATATATAATTTTGTTTAAGATAATAACAGTAACGCTCAGATTTCCTTAATAACTAAATAATATACCATCAAATAATAATATTAAAGTTAACTTCCAGAAATCAAAATTCAATCCAATTTTCATATATAGGTATACATAGACAAATGTCTTTAAAGAGTAATTAAATGTTTAACATGCCAAGACTTCTAAGCCCTATTTTTTGTCATGAAGCAAAACTTAGTAGTCTAGAAAATGCTCCAAAGCTCTAGAAAGTCGTAGACTCCATGGCAAACCATGCATTGACACATCAAACATTCATGTAGTTCGATCAGACAATGATATTACAGTGAACACTAAGTAGTTAATTGATATGTTCCAATTCAAGTAACACCCTGCCCCGGTTACAAACTAAAGAACTCAACATCAACTAAATGAAATAGGTCTCTGCCCCACACACTTTAACTATATGTTTCTTTTATGCTATATGGACTTAATTTGGTGGTAAAGTTTAGTGTGAAAACTTTCACCGACCGTTTGGTACGTGGCTTTTGACAAAATTATCGAGAAATTGATTTTTTTTAAATTTTAAATTTTTGAATATTATCATAAACTTAATGTAAAAATCATATTTTTAAAAATCGAGATTCTCAGACAAAATTTTTTTTCTCCTCTACCAAATGCCCCGTCAAGGGAATATATACGTCTCCCTCTTTTTTTCCTCTTTTTAATATGGACAATATAGACTAAAAATGAATGATGTCCAGCTTGCGAAATAGTTAAGTTGGGGGTTGATCATGTTTGAAAATAAAGAGAATGGAATCTGAAAGCTAACCTTTTGTCACTTTCATGCGAACAGAGCAAGGATTTGAGCTCAAAAGAGATGCCTTCTCCAAAATTGAACTATTTTATTAAGCTTTCTTTAAAACAACAACAATAGTAATGACAACTTTCACTTTGATAAAGTTGAAGATGGGATAGAATAAGATCTGGAAATTTTATATCATGATAATTTGAGAAATTAATAAAAAAAGCTAGCTAGATTATTTAATTAGGTGAATTTGTGCATTGTTTAGAAGTTATAGTTTGTGGAGTTCACTATATGAAACGGGCATTTCGTAAAAGGTTTATATGATATTGTATTTTATTTGTTAACAATATTATCTATTTAGCGATACATTAGACGTTATGCAATTGCAAATTGACCTGACTAGTAGGAGAAAACTGTTGGAAGTATTAAGTATGAGTTATAAAGAAGTACCATATCGACTAGACATAGACTAAGTGATGACTATATAAGTGCAAAAGACCCATAAACCTCTTTCCCTATATTCGTCAATATCTCAATGATCAAGCTGTTGCAAGGATCCAAGCTGCTCTCATTCCTAGCGCATCGGATGGAAATGACCGCATTATTTGGAGAAATCAAAAGGTTGGCTGCTCTTTAGTTAAAACCGCGTATTATAACATGCTTGGTTTCCCTCTCATGCCGTTGAAAAATTCTTGGACTACCATATGGAAATGGCATGGGCCTCAACGTGTTAAATCTTGTATGTGGATCATAATGCATGGCCGCCTTCTTACTAAAGACCGCACATCTAGATGGAGTGGGGAATCTGGTCATTGTAAAATATGTCCTGGTGAGTTGGAAACAAACCTCCATGTTCTAAGAGATTGTAAGCATGCTAGAAGTGTTTGGAATTCTCTGGTTTCAGCTAATCGGCAAAGCTTATTCTACAGCTTGGATCTTAGAGATTGGGTTGAAAATAATATCTCAAAAGCCTGGAATCAAAGTAATTCAGATGATTGGCGTGATGTCTTTTTTATCTCTTGTTGGTTCATTTGGGGATGGAGGAACAAAAGTGTCCATGATACTAACTTCAAGCATCCAACCCATGGAACGCACATAATTGCTATGTATATAGAGGAAGTTCGTAACTGCATGGGTAGGAAGGCTATGGCTACTACTAGCATTCATCCAACTCGTATGAGTTTATGGAAACCTCCAAGGTTAAATTGGGTGAAGATTAATATTGATGGGGCAGTTGAAAGGAATACTGAGGTGGCTGCTTGTGGTGGGATTATCAGATCTGATGATGGCTCTTGGTTGGGAGGCTTTGAGTATCATATTGGTGCTTGCACTCCTTTAATGACGGAGCTTTGGGGAACTCTAAAAGGTCTGGAATTGGTTTGGCAACTGGGATTTAAGAAGGTGGAACTAGAAGGAGATGCTTCTGAAGTATTCTCTTTGC